TCCAACTCTGTTATTCTATTCTATTCTATTCTATTCTATTCTATTCTATTCTATTCTAAAACTGGCTAACTAGGCTGACTGTGTTTGCTTTTCTTTCTTATTGAAACCAAGGATGGCCAACGCAAACCTCAACCTCTGGCACCTCTGAGAGGGCAGCCGGCTGCAAAAACCGTTTCTTGGTTTTATAAGTCGCCCACTGGAGGGTGGTGCAGTTACTACTTCCATTCTTTCTCTTCTATGACCTGCAGTGCCAGCAAAACAGGTTGGCGTGTCCCTAGGAAAAGAGTTCAGAGCAACGATGGCAAATAAATTGCAACCAATTTGCAACTAAACAATGGTTGCAAACAATCATGGAAGAGTTTTTGTAGTCCAAGTTCAAGTGGACTCATCATAATGAGCCGAGGTGGCGCAGTGGTTAGGGTGCAGTACTGCAGCTACTTCAGCTGACTGCTAGTTCAGCAGATCAGCGGATCAAATCTCACCGGCTCAAGGTTGACTCAGCCTTCCATCCTTCCAAGGTGGGTAAAATGAGGACCCAGATTGTTGGGGGCAATATGCTATTTAGTATACTGTCTTTGGTGTAAGCCGCTCAGAGTCCTCAGAGAGTGGGCGGCATAGAAATATGGCTAATAAAATAAAATAAAAAATAATATTTTACTCTGTCTTATTGATCCACCAAGGCTGACAGTCATTTGAAGACCGAGGAACAACCACAGCACAAGAGAAGTGAGCTGCAAACGCTGCAACAATGGTGCCCACACACATCTGCCTGACATCTGGCAGAACATTCCGTGCCCGTCTAGGCCTTACCAGCCACCTGCGGACGCACCATGGAGAGCCCACAACCTGTTGGGTATCAAGGTCCCCTTCGAACACGATGGACAAACGTCATCCCTCCGTCTTATAGAAACCAAGGAGGCACAGCTTCCTGTTTTAGCAATGGTTACTGATCTCAAAATGCTGTTATGCTAAAAAGCGTTCTGTGGTTGTTACTGGTCTTACTGGGCTTATGACGGTCGTCTTTGACATACAACTACAGTTGGGAATCAGAATTTCCCTTGCTAAGCAAGACTGTTGTTTAAAGTGACTCGCACCCGATTTTATGACCTTTTTGACCGTGGTTGTTAAGTGAATTACTGCCACTGTTAAGCAAATCTTGTGGTCGTTAAGCCAATTCAGCTTACCCCGCTGACTGGGAAGTCACACATGGTGATCATGTGATCCTAGAATGCTCTTTCATGGTGGGAGATCTTGTTTTATTTGGGTAACAAGGAGACTCGGGTCCCTTTCAGAAGTGCTACTGCCAAGCCAGATCTACCACACCCCATATTTATGCCTTCGGAGATGTAGAATTTCAGATTTGTTTCCCCATTACAATATCTTCCTAACTATTTGGCTGCTTCTTCCTGCCGTGGAGGCCTGCCTAGGTTGTTTGGCATCCTTTGCCTCTCCTGTGAAGCAGGAGTGGGCAACTATAGCCCCTTTATGACCAATGAACTTCAACTCCCAGAATTCCTGAGAAATCCAACTCTGGAGCTCCCAGGATTCCCATGGCTGGCTCAGGAATTCTGGGAGTTGAAGTCCACAGGTCGTAAAGCGGCCATAGTTGCCCAACCCCACTCTAAAAGTATTATCCATCCACCCCGCCATGTTTTCTGTCGTCTGATGACTTTATCAATGCCTCCTAAACACCCTGATTTTGAAAAATAAGTAACAGAAGCCCGAGCAATCACAAGTCCTTTTCCTAAAATGGGCTGCATAAAAATGTGACTCTGGGACAGATGCAAATATTGGGAGAATCATTACAGGGGGGGTGGGGAGGCAACATCCTGTGGCTCTTACATTACATGAGAAATTTCTTTAATAAACTGCTCGTCTCTCCAACTTTGCATAGGAAGCGAAGGTGCCTTTGACCTCATCTAGAATTCTTTATTGGCTAAATGTGATTCGACACACAAGGAATTTGTCTTTGGTTCATTCTGCAAATTTTATATTCATATGTAGTGTATAATCGTGTAGTATTACTGTTTGTTTGTTTCATTCATTCATGTCATAAGCATGAATTAAAACAACTAAAATAAGGCATATTATATAAAATTAACAAAATCACAAAAGTATTATTGTTAAAAGAAAACCCCTCCACTTAATGCAATGGATGTCATTTCCCCATGAATTCTTGCTTCTTATACCATATTCTTTCATTGAACTTATGTGAAGGGATTGCTCCCCACCATCTCTGAATGGATGCAACCTGAAGGAGGGACAAGGAAATAATAATAAAATGACCCCTCATTAATGTCTTTATTAGGGCCGCTTTGCTATCTTTGATCTATAATGTGCCAGGCGCAGTAAAAGTAGTTTTATGGACCGTAAAGAGGAGAAGCTGAGAAACTTCATGGATAATTGATTTAGAGGTTCTGGAGAAGGTGTAAGATCAAAGAGTGGCTTAATGCGTTTATATTGCCCTGGAGAGCAGTCAACCAAGGCCTGGAAGAGATCTTGGTCAGTTAATTAAGAGGAGATAGTTCCCATAAAGTCATTCTTTCTCCAGGCTTTGTCTTAAGAGAAGTATCCCACATTTGGGAATTGATGGCTTGAAGTAACACACACTAAGCTCTGGATTGCTTCTCAGATGTAACTCAGGATACAGGTAGTCCCCAACTTACAACCACAATGGAGCCCAGCATTTCTGCTACTACCATCTCTGTTGCCACATGAAACATTTCTTAAGTGAGTTTCGTCTCGTTTTAAGATTTCTCTTGCTACAGTTGTTAAGTGAATCACTGCAGCTGTTAAGTTAGTAACACAGTTGTTAAGTGAATCCAGCTTCCTCCATTGTCTTTGCTCGTCAGAAAGTTGCAAAAGGGGATTATATGACCCCCCGGGACTCTGCAACCGTCATAAATACAAGCCAGTAATCAGAACAATATGGTCAGCAAATATGGCGGTCCCAATCAGCAAAGGAAAGCTTCGGACCGTCTGGGTTGGAAACAGGCGGAAGAGGCCTTCATCCTGCAGTGGAGAGATAATGGCTAAAACAATGATGATGATGATGATGATGATGATGATGATGATGATGATGATGATGTCATCAAGCATCCAAATTTTGATCAAGTGATGCTGCAGCAGTTGCAAGTATGAAAAACGATCACGTCACTTTTTTCAATGCTGTTGTAACTTTGGATGGTCATTAAACGAACTTAACAAGTTTATATAATCTTCCTCAATTATATCATTGCGTCTTTCCCTTGTCATGTCATTTGCCTTATAATTCAGTCGCTCCTACCGAGTAGTTTCTGACCTACAGAATTATCCTGGCCGAGCAACAATAGAATTCTTTGATCGGGAACTTCAGATAATTTCATACCTTAGCATTCCCACTCCAATCAATCTGTTGGCATCACCACTCGTGATGAATGTTTGCGAATACCAACTCTACTTTTACAACAGCCCATAAAAAAGACCTCGTTTCTTCACATTCCGTCCCCAAAGGATAAAGGGAAGTGCTATTATTTTTAACGCACATAAATATGGACTATGAAATTGGGCAGAATTTATTCTCTCGTGAAACACCAGCGTGCCTGAGCAGGCGATTCAGTTCGGATGAAAAAGAACAGAAAGCGTTATTTTCATGTTAGGTTATAAAAAGCAGAGATCTGATCCTTCTGTTCTTCAGGCTGTCCAACTGGCACCGAAGCAGAATTAATCAAAAGTTTGTAGAACTAATGCAAGGGCCTTGAAAGGGATTGAATTCTCTTTGCATGGATATTTTGATATCTCATTCTTCACCTTATTTATCCTTCATCCTGCTTCCCTTTTTCTTTGCCTGCTCCCACCCCTCCTTCAATTCAATTCAATTCCATCCTTTGGATCCTTTTGGAAACCTCTCCATTCCACATTCCACACATTTAATTGTCCAATATTTCTCAAAAAGACTGGAAATGCTGTCCAGCTCAGTATGAGCAATAGCACTAGCACTTAAACTTATACACCGCTTCACATTGCTTTACAGCCCTCTCTTAAGTGGTTTTACAGAGTCAGCATCTTGCCCCCAACAATCTGGGTCCTCATTTTACCGACTTCGGAAGGATGAAAGGCTGAGTCAACCTTCGGTCAGGATCGAACTGCTGGCAGTGGGCAGAGTCAGCCTGCAATGCTTCATTCTAACCACTGTGCCACCACAGCTCAGTATTAAAAAGAGCTAAGAAATCTGGGATCAATTCTTAGGAAGGTGAAATGGGATGTTTCACCCCCCACGTTCCTCAGACGACTTCTTCTTCTTCTCCTCCTCCTCCTCCTCCTCCTCCTCTTCCTCTTCTTCTCCATGAGTCTTCCTGCCACCTTCTCCCTTACAGTGTCAGCTTATTAATTCCTGAATGTCTAGGGAGATCCTCCATCATCCAGGTCCTGGTTGTCCCAAAGGTGCTTTTTCAAGAGGCAACTGGACTTTCTTGTTTTTCCTTAAAGATGTTTTGCTTCTCGTCCAAGAAGCTTCTTCAGTTTTGACTCAATGGTGGGGAATAGAAGGCTAACGACCAGATGACTGCAAGGAATATAAATCCTTCCAGTCCCCAAACATATTCAGTCAGAACTGAAGAAGCTTCTTGGATGAGAAGCAAAACGTCTTCAAGGAAAGGCAAAGGAAGTCCAGTTGCTCATGAAAAAGCACTTTTAGTCAGTCCTTTCTGCTTTTCTTCTACCCGGCTTCTCCTCTCTTTATCTCCTCATCAAGCCATCTCCCTACATGGCAACTTTAAGAGATGTAGACTTCAGCAGGCTGGCTGGGGAATTCTGGGAGCTGAAGTTGCCAAATTTGAGAAACAAGTGTTAAACTTAAATTTAATAGATTGCAATATGCTATAACAACTGATTGTTGTACATTTGGTATTAGAATATAACTTTTGCAGTTCTCTCCCGAGAGAAATTCAACTTAATATCCAAAATAAAAGATTATCTGCCAAAGGACGTTAAACTCCTTTGAGAAATACAAGAAGTGGAACTGAGGTAAAGATCTGTTTAATTTACAAACATCAGTAAAGATACTGATACCGGTCCAAATTAGACAAAGCAACACCATATTACACATGTACAACTATCTTTTCCTTGTATAAAAGAAATTAAAACCCCCACTTTTTTACAGGGTACCCCATGATTTACTAAAAAAAAAAAAAAGAACAACCCACTATAAAGAATTATTAACCAATTCTATATTATACTTAGCAGCAACATGTTAACAAAGGAAAATATTTGGGCGCTTAAAGTAGTTTTAATAATGGGGGAAATGGTAATACAGCCTCTTTTATTCATTTTAAAGGTACCAAACTCCAAGGGAACATTAGTTTGAAAATATCTATCTTCTAGTGTCATTTTCAACACATAATTTCATTTTCTGAAAAGTAGTGTATACTTGGGAGGGTAGGGGGAGGATCACACCTATAACATTTGCCACCTATTTGTAAAGACAATTTCCTCATATATTACAAAGACTTGAGAGTTGTCATCTTTCCTTGTTATAATGAACATAATAATCAGATTGTTTGCAGCTTCTGGTCCTATGATGGAGGCAGCTGGCAGGTGCTGCAGTAAAAAATATTAACCCAGATCAAATCTATTTATCCCGGGAGAACCTGCTATATTAGTCCTATTGCAAATATCCTGATTTTAAGTTTTCCTCTCTCTCTCTCTTTAAAAAAACAACTGAAAATACAAAAATATCAGGACAAATATAAATTAATATATATTAAAGCATTGGGGGGAAAAGTAAAAAGATTGGCCTAGATGTTAAGTACAGTGTACTTTGATACAATAAATATTTCTCAATAAACAGAATACTGTATAGAGCTGTTCAGGATTCATAGAAACAAAACTCCGCATTATATCTAATTTTCTCAACAATAATCTATTTTATCAATCTTATCATTTATATTACAAAAAAAATTAATACTGTAAGAGGGTGGGGTAAATGCTTCCTTCCTTCCTTTGTAACATGCTAAAATGTGTTAGAAGATCTGAGGATAATTGTGAATTAACAAAAGCTCTCGTTTTCTCAACTTTTTTTTTTTTACACTGTACAAAATGCATCGCTTTTTTCCCCCTCTTTTCATCTTGTAAAAATGGACCTCTTCCTCCGCCTGAGAGCTTTCCTCTGGGTCCCGAGAAGGAAATAAAACCAAACCAAAGTGAAACTTATGTTCCCCCGCCCCAGCTATAGTTAAAAGTACATAATAAGAAAAACTTTATATTCTCTCCCACCGATAACAAGGATCAGACGGAAAGATAATTGAGCAAAGGGGCTTCTTTATCTTCAGAATGGGTTGAAGAACGTTGGGTGTTAAAAGAAGTGAATCTTTCCTATCCTGGTTGAAATCCGGTCTTTTTTTTTTTTACATATACATATTTCTTTCTTCCAAGTCCTTGGAGTTTCAAGAAGTCTCTTTGAGCACTCGTTTTTTGACTTTTTTTTTTTTGTAGTTAAAGAAACAGTTCTTTATTCTCGTAATAAAAATAAGCCTGTTCTGTATTTTACAATATATATCCACTACGAAGCCTTACTTTAGAGTCCGAGAAGCGGCTGATACAGGATTTTTCAGAAATAAATGAGCGTGGGAAAAGTACGTCTCTTAAGAGAGGCACTGAGTGCAGCCGCATCTGACCACTTTTTCAACCTCGCCTACGAAGGAGGAGCCGTCGGTGCATTCAAAAAGGTATTTCCTCTTTTTGCTTCTTAGTGGCCTGCAACACTGCCCGTTCACACAGCCCCCTTGACACTCGAGTCTCAAAACCTTCTCGGTCGTTTGGCACGCGGCGTAACCTTGCTGCTTTTGGAAATAATCGCGGATCCGTTCCTCTCGGCAAGCGATTTCTGCAAAGCGAAAAAGAAGGACAGCGCCAGGTGCTTAAAGGGACAGGTGCTTAAGGGGCATCTACTCAAGAGCAGCCCACTAAAGAGCCCTCCTGTTTTGCAAACAAAGAAACGAATAATGAAGAAAATAAAATAAAACAAGGATTCTCCTCTACGGGATTAAAGCTGACATGCACACCCAGAGCAGCCTCTTTTTGGTGCTGATTTATATCCAGACTCAAAATGCACTACAATTACTATGACAAGAAAATTGGGAGCTTAATTTTTTTTTCTTTATTACAAAAATACATATCCTCTGTTTTTTTAACAGCCAGCTGGTTTCTTTGACTGTTTGGAAATGTTTGAGAGAGCATGCAATTTCATTTATTAGACCTAAATACTATTCAATCTGTTATTTAACAGCGGCTCCAGTCCCCTAGGCTCCATCACTTATCCAGGCATAAAACCAGTTTAAGTGGGAGAGTGCAGTCCCTACGTCCTATTGTAATCCCGTGGATGCAAAAGGACAGAATGAATAAATACCAGCTCTAGAAATGAGAGAGAGAGAGAGAGAAGGAGGGAGAGAGAAAAGACAGCACAGAAGTGGGAAGGGAGTGGGGGTGTCAGGTCACCCTGTTTTTATCCGTCTCACCTGTATGATTCGATGTGATAAATCAGTTGAAGATGAGAGGTCAAAAGTAGAATTTGGAATAAAACTAGCAGCAGAATCATTGGTTTTGGCTTCATAGTTGCAGTAGGTAGAGAAACAATAAATACAGAAAAGATACAGCAGGTATAAGGTGGCAGTTTAAATATAGCAAAAGGTCGCTTCTGAAGAAAGAGAAAAGTTTTTATAGCAAAATCTTGAAAGGAGGAGATAAGAAAAACCTTCCTGGTTTTAATGCTATAAAATTAAAAAAAAAAAAAAAACATCCTTCTCTAAAACTTTCTCATTCTGTTAGATCATCCAGCAAAAAGCCGAAAATGTACTAAAATGGTTTGTCAGGGATGGAGATATAGAAGAATTAAAAAAAAAAAAAAAATTCGAAAAGAAAATTGTATCACGTGCATGCAGAACAGGGGTTTTTTTGTTTGTTGTTTTAAAAAGGAAAATTGTTTTGTTTTTTTTTTTGGTTTTTTTGCTCTTCAGATAAAATGGGGACTTTCCCCTCCTTTATAGGAGACCTATTCCCGGCCGATCGGAGGCTCACCTTTATTGCAGCCGTCCCCGGTATATCCGCTGTGGCACTCGCAATATGGTTTTCCAAGGCCTGAAAGCCTGCATTGACCATGTTTGCATCGGAGGGGCTGGCAGGGGCTAAGCAGCTCCCCGTCTTCATCGCAGAGGACGCCTCCGTATCCCTGCAGGCATTGACAACTGTATGAAAAGGCATTGATTGGCAAGCAGGTACCATGTACACATCTACAGGGGAGACAAGCCCAAGAGAATAAGAATACATTATTCATCCGGCCTCAGGCTAAGTGACACGAACGATAAGCGTGTTGGGTTGGGCTGGGCTGGCCTCCGAAGGGAAAGGGCTCAGAGTGCCTCGCTTTAGAAGATAGCATCACAGAGTTGGAAGGGACCTTGGAGGTCTTCTAGTCCAGCCCTCAGCTTAAGCAGGAGACCCTATGCTATTCCAGACAAGTGGCTGTCCAGTCCTTTCTTAAAAACCTCTGGTGATGAAGCCCCTACAAGTTCTGAAGACGAGCTCTTCCACTGGTTGGTTGTCCTCACTGTTAGGAAGTTTCTCCTTAATTCCAGGTTGCTTCTCTCCTTGATGAGTTTCCATCCATTGCTTCTTGACCTGCTTTGGAAAATAAGTTGACTCCCTCTTCTTTGTGGCAGCCCATCAAATACTGAAATACTGCTATCATGTCCCCCTTAGTCCTTCTTTTCTCTAGACTGGCCATCTCCAAATCCTGCAACCGTTCTTCATATGTTTTCATCTCCAGACCTTTAATCATCTTGGTTGCTCTTCTCTGCACTTTTTCCAAAGTCTCAACGTCTTTTTTGTAATGTGGTGACCAAAACTGGATGCGGTACTCCAGGTGTGGCCTTACGAAGGCTTTATAAAGCGTGCTGGACTGTGCTCCAAAGGGAAATGGCTCAGAGTTTCATTTTAGAAGACAGAATAATAGATTGGAAGGGATCTTGGAGGTCTTCTAGTTCAAGCCCCTGTTTGAGCAGGAGACTCTATACCATTTCAGACAAATCGTTGTCCAGTCTCCTTTTGGAAGCCTTCAGTGATGGAGCACCCATAACCTCTGAAGGCAAGCCCTTCTGCTGATTGATTCTTTGGTTGGGAAATCCCTCCTTAGTTCTAGAGTTGCTTCTCTCTTTGCTGAGTTTCCTTGACTTTTGGTGTCTCATCTTGACTTTTGGTGCTTTGGAAAACATTTTGACCTATTCCCCTTTGTAGGAGCCCTTCAAATATTGGAACAGTGCTGTGACGTCTCCCCTTGAATTGCAGCAACTCTCTAAGACGTCATGAATCAGCTTGGGAGCATCTAACTGACAGGCAAGGACACAGAAACTCCTGGGCATTGGGAAAAGAGCCACTGTAGATGTGTAATGGAAGACCTGAGTAGGCTATCACAGGTCATAAGTTCCGCTTTTCTCAACAACTTGCAACACAGAATCCGCCATCACCACACCCGTTGCATGCATCAGATTACTTGAATTCATATAAATACAGTACAGGTTAAATCCTTGATTTACAAGAGTTCGTTCTGTGACCGTTTGAAGTTACAACAGCATTGAAAAAAGTAACTTATGACCGTTTTTCACAATTGTGACCAGTTATGATCCATCTGCCATCCTCTTCATGGCTTCTTTTAATGGCTGTTTCAATCTAATCTGGGTCTAATCCAGAATCACCACACCGTGACGATGTCTTGGTTTGTTCACCAAGTTTTAGGATCGTAACATTCAAGGGGATTTTTGTAACCATCTACAGGTTTCCTAATCTTAGTTTGTGGGAGTGGAGTAGTTCTAGACTGCTAATGAGAACTTCGAAAACTGGGCTCCTAAAATTAGTCTTGCTTCTTTTAGAGATGTCTGGTGTGGTTCAGTAGTGGTTTTGCCTGTGATTGGATCCATGGCATCTCCTTTCAGGGAATCTGGACTGGATTCCTGGGACAGAATCTCCTAATTCATAAAATATTCTGAAGCCCCCAAAAACAGTGATTAAATTTACATATCCTCATAGTTGATTAGATTTTTATAGGCCATTCCCCTCCCAAAAAATCACCAATTTTTGGAATAAAATCATTGTGATAAATCAAAGAGTGCCGCATAATGACTACCACTATCATACTACCTGGTGTATCTATATTGTTGGAAAGAGTTTGGCCCTGCCATCCATTCCCTGAACAAAATTCTTTCAAGAAGTATTTTCCTGCCAGACACGGATCTGATATCTTCTGCTCTGAAACTCTTTACATTACAACTTAAGTTATTTAACCCAACAGGACTAAAAGAAATGACTCAGAGCAAATTTATAAAGTTGAGTTGCACCATCAGCTTTGTAGGCTAATGAATGCAGGTAGAATTACGATCACAACGGAGCCCAAAATTTATGTGGCTAAGTGAGACATTTGTTAAGTCACCTTGGCCCCAATTTTACGACCTTTCTTGCCTCCGTTGCTAAGTGAATCACTGCAGTTGTTCAATTAGGAACACGGTTGCTCAGTGAATCTGGTTTTCCCCCTTGACTTTGCTTGTCAGAAGGTCGCAAAAGGGGGCTGTCAGGTATGCAACTGTCATAAATGTGAGTCAGCTGCCAAACGTCTGAATTTTGATCACGTGGCCACAGGATGGTAAGTGTGAAAAATGGCCATACGTCACTTTTTTCAGTGCCCTTGTACCTTTGAAGGGTCACTAAACGAGGCGTTGTAAGTGGAAAGCCCACCTTATAGAGCTTCTCTCCCAGGCCAAAGCGTTTCACCATTAAAAGCGATATTGGTCCGGTACTCACTTGTTCCCCAGGCAAGGGCTGTTGGGTTCCTGGTCGCAGAGCGAGCCGCTCCATCCCTCATCGCACTCGCAGGTAAAGCCGGACTGGCCCGTCACGTGGCAGGTGCCATGGACGCACACCTTCTTCAGGCAAGGTTCGCAGCCTGGGAGGATCCCAACTTGCAAAGGGACATTCCTGAAATCTTGCAGCTCGCTGTTGATGAAGAGATTTCGGAGGCAGCCGTGGAAACTGGTGGCATTCTGGCCTGGAAGCTGTTGCAACGCAGCCACGTTTTCCTTCACCGGCATACCTGGGGACGGATTGCACAGGTGAGGGGAATGTAGGCCTCTGGCTGACTGGCTCCCTTAAAGTAACCGGCTCGCTACAGAAAGTGTCACCCTTCCCGCATTTTATTTATTTATTAAACGCAGGTGATATCTCCAGCTCACCAAGAGGCAACTTGAGGCAGCTTGCAATCATTTTTCTAGATAAACCTTCAGACCATCCGAAGGCGCCTTTTATTTTTTTTTCTCAAGAGGCAACTGGACTTTCTGGTTTTTCTTTGAAGATGTTTTGCCTCTCATCCAAGAAGCTTCTTCAGCTCTGACTCGATGGTGGGCTCCACACCCATTTCCACCACTCAGGTAACCCTGAGGACACAGACAAACCTCCAAGTGGCCTCAACGACTCTCTAGAAAGGTTGCAAGTGACCAGCCATCTGCAAGGAGTATAAATCCTTCCGTTTCCCACCATTCAGTCAGAGCTGAAGAAGCTTCTGGGATGAGAAGCAAAACGTCTTCAAAGAAAAACCAGAAAGTCCAGTTGCCTCTTGAAAAATGCACCTTTTTGGGACAACCAGGACCTGGATGACTGAGAATCTCTATAGACATTCAGACCTCCCGTTTGTTCCCACCCTTTCCACTGACTCTCTTATAAAACATTCCCGATTTCCTTAAAGGATTTTTACGGGCTGGATGGATAACAGTGGAGAAACTTAATGATGATATATCACTTCACAAGATAAATTGGCCTTTTTTTCGACCGGTGGCTGAATTAGATCACTCCACAATAGACCCATAAAAGCCATATTGACAAGGCAAAGAAATAATTAAAAAAAGATTCCACACTTTGAGAAATCTATTTTAGTTAATTTTTAGTTTGAAAAATTAATTAAATGCAAAAAAAAAAAAAAGCACAAAGAAACACATAAAATTATAAAAAAGAAAAACTAAAAAAGGAAGAGGAAAAAAATACAAGACGTACAGTATATTTAATAGACTCCACTCTTCATACAGCGCAAGGTACAGCAAATAATTCCACCCACCAAAAAAAAAACCCTGTCTGAGCTTAGAAAGGCTTAGCCACTGAGCTGCTGTGACCCTTTTACTTATTTTAAAAAGTGAGAATTACTGTTCTTTTTCCCTTTCACCCAACGGCGTTTTCCAAGACACCAGAATTGGTGGCAGGAAGGACTTACCTCCAACATAAAACGGAGAGTCAAAATTCAAAGTGGATTGTTTAGACAGGTTGGTGATGGTTTTGGGGTTTCCTCCATCAATAGATAACGACAGAATCTGGTCCATTACTAATAATTCCACCATGTGGAATTTCCCATCATTGATGGTCTCGACACTGGGGAAGGGAAAGTGGTTTAATTTCATAAATATTAGTTGCTGCACCGAGATTTTAAGAGTCGGTGTCTACGTATCCCACCCGTCCCAACTGCTTATGCTAAGCTATCAGAGATCTGTGTAAGGCCTTGAAGTTTAGGCCCTCAGCATGCAGAAAACTGTGAGAAGCAGCAATTTCCTAACTGTGCATAAGAAAAATGAACCCAAATTAACTTCAAACTGCCACCTATTTTCAGTGCGGTGATCCTTTCGTGACTTTGGGAAATCTGGAATTAGAGAATCGAAAATTCACTCGAGGATATTCAGATACAGGTAGCCCTCGGCTTATGACCACAATCGAGCCCCAAATTCATGCTGCTAAGTGAGACATTTGTTAAGTGAGTTTTGCCCCATTTTACGACCTTTCTTGTAACCGTTGTTAAGTGAATCACTCCAGTTGTTAAGTTAAGTAACCTGGTTTTTAAATGAATCTGGCTTCCACACTGACTTTGCAAATTTTTAACACATGATCAGTCATAATTGGGAAAGCCAGTTATAATTTGAACCATTATAATTTCAATGGTCACTAAATGAACTGTTGTAAGACAAGAACTACCTGTGTCGTGTATTCTGTCATCTTGAAGGAGAGCAGTTCCCTGGTTACAATAATCATGAAGAAATCAATGTGCAAACACCAGAGCATAACAACTATAGCTCCTACAATTCCTATAATATCACCACCACAGTTTGACAAATAAATCTTTTCTCTTCTGCCAAATACTCAGATCATAGATAGCGCTTAGATTTCACGTGCTGGAATATAGTTTTAATTCTGCATAAATGGTAAATTAATGCAATTCTGGTTCACACGAATGGGCCAGTATAATATTCCACAATTTCTGTAACCATCTTCCTTTTTCCAGTGACCAAGAGATACATACCTCAACAGAAGAAAATCTTCTCATCCGTCCACCTCTCCCAACTCCACAATTTTGGCAAAAATATAATAGTTTTCATTTTCTTATTAATTAGATTCCTTGATGGGTGTTCAAAAGGTTGCATCTCATTTTTTTTTAATACTAAAGATGAAGGGATATTGGTATATAATTTGGGACATGTCTACATGGAATTCCATATTGGGCAGGTAGCCATGTGGCAATTCAGATTCTTCAAAGGAAATTAAAGCAGAAGGTAACAGAATCACAGAGTTGGAAGGGAACTTGGAGCCCTTTTAGTCCAATCCTCTGCTCTATCAAGAGACCCTATGCCATTTCAGACAAATAGTTGTCCATCTTTTCTTAAAAAAACCTCCAGTGTTGAAGCACCCACAACTTCTGGTGGTAAGCTGTTCCACTGGTTAATTGTCCTCACTGTCAGGAAATTTCTCCTTAATTCTAGGTTGCTTCTCTCCTTGATTAGTTTCCATCCGTTGCTTCTTGTCCTGCCTTCTGGTGCTTCGGAAAATAGGTTGACCCCCTCTTTTCTGTGGCAGCCCCTTCAATATTGGAAGACTGCTATCATGTCTCCCCTAGTCCTTCTCGTCATTAAACTAGACATACCCAGTTCCTGCAACCGTTCTTCATATGTTTTATCCTCCAGTCCCCTAATCATCTTCGTGGCTCTTCTCTGCACTCTTTCTAGAGTCTCCACATCCTTTTTATATCGTGGCAACCAAAACCACAATATTCCAAGTGAGGTCTTACCAAAGCATTACCAAGGTGGCAGAGGAAACATGGAAAATAGAAACTTGATCGTGACCTGCTGGGTTCCCTCATATCATAGTTCAAACATTCTTGACTTTGAAGTGGAAGGAGGACTTATGCTCTCCATTTTATCTCCTAAACCACGTACCTGGAGTGGAAGGGAAACTTCCTTCTTCAGAAAACATTTCAAAACATAATTGTCAAAAAAAAAAAAAATGACATTGGAACATCTCAAAGGTGCTTTTTTTTTGCCCCAAAAGGCAACTGGACTTTCTTGGGTTTTTTTTTCCCTGTGGAAACAATTCATTTCCCATCTCAGTTCTGGAATGAAGCAAAGAAAGTCCAGTTTCCTTTTGAAAAAGCATCTTGACCAGGATGACAGAGAATCTCCAGAGAGCATTTACTGGAAACTGCCACTTCTGAAACACATCTGGATTAAAAACAAGGCCTGTTCTCTTCAAAGCCTGAAGAGGTTTATAAACCCACCTGTATATGGCAGATACTGGATAGGATCCTGCGTCGTAACTGACTCGTACACGTCCCCGGTAAAGCTCCATGGCTATATGATCTTCATCTCCTTTATACAGCAGAATCCCACTGTCTTCATCTGTGGAAATCTGACGGGAAACCATTTGGAATTAGAAATAATGACATTGAAGGTTGTTGTTGCTTTTTTTAAAGGATATTGACTACAACCAATTCACCCTTAAGTGAATGTCATTTTTTTTTTGTTAAAAAAAATTATATTCTACTCTCATTAGTATGATATAAATCTTATGTTTGGCTTTAGGGAGAATGGGAGAGCTGAACACTGAGGATGTTCCTTTAAGTGGCTTGGGGTCGTTTTTTCCCTTCCCCCTTCCCCCCTTTCCATTTACACAGGTGTCATCTGAGTTTCTATTTCTTTTTTTGTCTTCCCTCTCATTTACCTATACCTTATCTACTTGATCAATCTATAATCTTTTATTCATATTTCTTTTCTAGCCATGCATAAAATCGTCCCCATGTCTTGGAATCGGAAATATACCGATTCCTCTTTATCTTTTATTCTTAATGTTAACCTGTTCATTTCTGCACATTCTAAAATCTTCTTCATGGCCTCTCCTTCTGACGGGATTTTTTTCTGCCTTCCACTTTTGTGCCAATACAATTCTTGCCGCTGTTACTATATGAATAATCAAATAAGTATCTTCTTTGCTATATTTCTCCGATAAAATACCCAATATTTTGCTCGTTTTTTAAAATAGTTTCCCAAAGATTTTTTTTCAAGAAGCTACTGGACTTTCTGTTTTTTCTTTGAAGACGTTTTGCTCCTCCAGAGCTGAAGAAACTTCTCGGAGGAGAAGCGAAACATCATCAAAGGAAAAAAAAAACAACAACCCAGAAAGTCCAGTTGCCTCTTGAAAAAAGCACCTTTGGGAGGAGCCTTGGTAGTGCAGTGGACTAAACTACTGTTAAAGTAGTATTTAGCTGACAGCTGCCTGCAATTACTGCGAGTTCAAATCTCACCAGGCTCGAGGTTGATTCAGCCTTCCATCCTTCCGAGGTAGGTAAAATGAGGACCCGGTTTGTGGGGGCAATAAGCTGACTTTGTATAAAAAAGAACACCGCTTTGGGGGGGGGCGAAAGCCCTACTAAGCAGGTATTTACAAAAGTATGAAGGCTTAAAAGCATTGTAAGCTGCCCTGAGTCTCCAGAGAAGGGCGGCATATAAATCAATCAAACAAACAAACAAACAAACAAATAAATAAATAATAAACCCTGACCTGGATGACGGAGGGTCTCCGCAGATTTCCCCCTAGAGCTGTGGTGGCCTCCCATCCTCTCTACCTCATGGAAGCTGCTCAAAACAAGAGCTCTTCCAGAAGGCATTCAGGCCTTGACCCCCATCTCGGTCCGATGATAGCTTGGGTTGCTCAATTTAACTTTGTTCTACATTTTTCTCTAGTCTGTAAACCTTCTAACTGCCTTCAACTCACCACAATTGTGAACGGAACTAAGCAAGGCAGTTCTTAAGCGAGTCACGTCCGGCTGTATGACCTTCCTTTGCTACAGTTGTTCAGCAAATCAATACGGTTGTTAAGTGAATTTGGTTTCCCCCAAGGACTCGGCTTGTTGGAAGGCAACTGAGAAAGTTGCAACTGGCCATCGCATGACCCCGGGATGCTACAAGCATTGCCGAGGGCCAGGATTTTGCTCATGTGGCTGCAGGGAGGCTGGGATGGTTGCAAGTACGAGGACCAAGCAGACGTCAACTTATTTCAGTGCCACTCTCCCTTTCAACCCTCATTAAACAAATGGTTATATCCCTGCGTGTGTTTTGTCTATTTTATATTGTTTCTCAGGCAATTTATCTATCCAGGTAGTCCTCGACTTACAACAGTTCATTTAGAGACTGTGCAAAGTTACAATGGCACCCAAAAAAAGGGACTGATGAAAGTTTTTTCACACATACAACCACTGCAGCATCCCCAAAGTCACGTGATCAAAATTCGGACGGTCGCAGGGTCCCCTTTTGTGACCATCTGACAAGCAAAGTCAAGGGGGAAACCAGACTCACTTAACAACCATGTGATTAACCTGTGATGGCTATTAAATGAGGACTAGAGTTTTCAACAGTTGAGCGGGTTTTTCTTTTTCTCCTATTAGAAAGATGCACTCTTCTTTCAATAGTGTGTCAAACCAGGGGTGAAATCTTTATTTATTTATTTTATTTTGTCGCATTTCTATGCCGCCCCACTCCCAAGGGACTCTGGGCAGCTGAAATCCAGCAGGTTCTGACAGGTTCTGGAGAACCGGTAGCAGAAATTTTGAGTATTTCGGAGAACTGGCAAATACCACCTCTGGCTGGCCCCAGAGTGGGATGGGAATGGAGATTTTCCCCCAGGAGTGGGGTGGGAATGGAGATTTTGCAATATCCTTCCTCCTGGAGTGGGGAGGGAATGGGGATTTTGCAATATCCTTCCTCCTGGAGTGGGGTGGGAATGGAGATTTTGCAGTAACCTTCCCCTGGAATGGGGTGGGAATGGGGATTTTGCAATATCCTTCCTCCTGGAGTGGGGAGGGAATGGGGGTTTTGCAGTATCCTTCCCCTGCCATGCCCACCAAGCCACGCCCACAGAAGCGGTAGTAAAAAAAAATTGGATTTCACCCCTGTGTCAAATCAATGCCACGTGTGCAAATCAGAGTTTCTCACAAACGTCTTGGTGAAAAGAGTTTTCATTTCCCAGGTATGTTGCTTTTCTTTGGTGTCCTGGGGCTTTAGTAACTCCATCATTGGCTCTAAATACCGTTTCTGGTAAGTGGCCTTCAGAGGCATTTATGGGCTCAAATAAAATATATATTAATTTGTATTAATGACTCACACAACTTCACACTTTATAACGAACTTACCTGGAGGGTGATATTGGTGTGGGAATGGATCTTGGTTGAGGGGATTTGCAGGTACGTTTCTTTGTGGATGAAGTTGATGCTGACTAGCTTTTCGCATTTCTCCCCCTGGTAACCGGACAGGCATTGGCAGTTTGGCTCATTGGCCTTCATAATGCACTGGGCCCCATTCTGACATTCATAGTGGTCACACGGGCTTGTGCGAGGCAAGACCATCGGTGGCGAAAACTCACAGAAAAGTCCGCTAGACACAAGCGAAGAAATAACTTTGGTTGAGTTAACAGAAAGAGTTGGAAGGAACCCTGGAGGTCTTCTAGTCCAACCCCTTTTCAAGCAGGAGACCATCAGACAAATGGCTGTCCAATCCTTTCTTAAAAACCTCCAGTATTGGAGCCCCCACAACTTCAGGTGGCAAGTTGTTCCACTGGTTAATTGTTCTCACTATTAGGACATTTCTCCTTAGTTCTAGGTTGTTTCTCTCCTTGATTGGTTTCCATCCGTTGCTTCTTGTCCTGCCTTCTGGTGCTTTGGAGAGTAGGTTGACCCCCCCCTGTTTTGTATGAGCCCCTTAGATATTGGAAATTGCTATCATGTCACCCCTAGTCTTTCTCTTCATTAAACTAGACATGCTCAGTTCCTGCAACCGTTCTTCGTATATTTTAGTCTCTAGTCCTCGTATCATTTGATAATTAGAACTGCAGAAAAAACCATGGCTACCAACCTGCCTTCCATGGAGGACCTGCATACTGCACGAGTCAAAAAGAGGGCTGTGAAAATATCTACAGACCCCTCGCATCCTGGACATCAACTGTCTCAACTCCTACACTCAAAACGACGCAATAGAGCACTGCACAGCAGAACAACTAGACACAAGGACAGTTTATTCCCAAACGCCATCACTCTGCTAAACAAATAATTCCCTCAACACTGTCAAATAATTTACAAAGACTGTATTACTATTATTCTTCTCTTCCTTACTAGTATCTATCTCTTCCCACTTATGACTATAACCATGTTGCTTATATCTTTCAATTTATACTGTTTTTATTTGTTTCCTAGTACGATTTGATAGCTTATTAGTAACCCTGACTATCACTAAGTGTTGTATCTTTTTATTCTCGTTGAATATTTTATTCTCCTTATGTAGAGAGCATACGCACCAATGACAAATTCCTTGTGTGTCCAATCACACTTGGCCAGTAAAGAATTCTATTCTATTCTATTCATTCTTGCTGCTCTTCTCTGCATTCTTTCCAGAGTCTCAACATCTTTTTTTTATAAAATGTTGACCAAGACTGGATGCAGTTATTTCAAATGTGGCCTTACTAAGGCTTTATAGAGCAGTACTAGTACCTCATGTGATCTTGATTCTATCCTTCTGTTAATGCAACCTTGGATTGCGTTGGCTTTTTGGGCAGCTGCTGCACATGGCTGGCTCCCCTTTTAAATGATTGTCCACTAGGACTCCAAGATCCTTCTCACAGTTACTGCCGTGGAGCCAGGTTTCCCCTAATCTGTACCTGTGGGGTTCTTGGTGTTTTCTCAGTTCGGTTGTTTTCTGGCAGACTTTTTCTTACCAGGCATGATGGAATATTGTTCGCTGATTATTTATGTATGATAGCTACATATATAGTGATAAGCATGGCTGATGAAGTTACCTGGCCCAGTGACAAAATTTCCACAGAAAAAGAACCAAGCTCAGAGGACATCAAGAACCTAACAATGAGCCCTTATATTTTCCACTACTGAAAAGTTTCTTCACACACTCCAACACCTATTTTGTTGGGCTACTTCTTCACAGTCCTTACCTGTACCCTTCAGGGCATATGCACGTATAACCATTCACGGCATCCGTGCACTGAGCTCCATTTTGACATTTGTTGTCTAGGCAGTCATCGTAGTCGATATCACAATGTTCCCCAACATATCCAGGTGTGCAACTGCACCTAGAGACATAAAAAAAAATGGAATAAATGAATGAATACAATTTATAGTTTTAGGAGTAGGCCGAAGGGATGGGGGTGCCCATGGAAATTATTAACACAGGCAGGATTGTTATTATTGTTATTATTTTGTGGAGGGGGGAAACTCGGTTGAAATTTCAAGATGAATCATGGTGCATTTGAAACAAAATATTTCAGCATTTGTTTACGGTCGGTCTATTGACTGCACAAATTGTTTTGCAATTCATTATTTGTAAATTTTGCTTTGCTGGTTGTTGTGTCTTGATGTGACATTTGATCAGAAATTCTAAGATTTCTATTATATCATGAATCATTCTGACAGGTCTCTTTGCTTCCCCTGAATTGGGGAATTCTACATATACAGTAGGTGGCTTAGTGGGTAAGACGCTGAGCTTGTCGATCGAAAGGTCGGCAGTTCAGTGGTTCAAATCCCTAGTGCCACGTAACGGGGTGAGCTCCTGTGACTCGTCCCAGCTTCGGCCAACCTAGCAGTTCGAAAGCAGGTAAAAGAAATGCAAGTAGAAAAATAGGGACCACCTTTGGTGGGAAGGGAACAGCGTTCCGTGCGCCTTTGGTGTTGAGTCATGCCGGCCACATGACCACGGAGACGTCTTCGGACAGCGCTGGCTCTTCGGCTTTGAAACGGAGAGGAGTACCGCCCCCTAGAGTTGGGAACGACTAGCACATATGTGCGAGGGGAACCTTTACCTTTACATATATCTCTCAATTTACTGCTTTGAGGTTACTCACCCCAAAACAGGGAGCGAAGTAGGAACACATACACTAAATTAATCAAAAATGCATTTTTATCCAACAATGGAAAGGGAGGCAACAGAATTAGCTCTATGATCTTAGGCATTATGTTTTTACATTTGCTCACTCTCACGTCTATGGGTTCTTGTGGTTAATTTTCATTGCATTGTGTTTTACAGAACTAGTGCCAACTAGTTAACTGAAAGAATGATATTTATTTGTAATCATCACATTAACATAATACCCAAGGAGCCTGTGGAATTTAAAGGTGATATTTAAATGAAGCAAAAACAATCCACAAATCTAAGTTTGGCCTGGGGGGGGGCGGGGAAAGTGTGGATCAGAGAATCAAGTTTCCAAACCTACTTATCTAAAGCCCATTAAAAGTTGCTTTGCAAATGCACATACTGATGAATGATAATAACGATAATACCACTTAATTAAAGATTACCCTTCCTTGGACCTCCTTATTGTGTAATATTTCCATCCTGTCATCCTAATAACCAATTTAGTTAATTGCAGCTTCTTAATCCAGCCTTAGCTTAATTATTCACTCTCTACCATATCACTGATGTTTTGTGAATTGTTATAGAAGATTAAAAACTCCCCTTACATCAATCTCTGTGCTTAATTCAGAGTACAGATAGTTCTCGACTTACGACAGTTCGATTAGTGACCGTTTGAGGTTACAAAGGCACTGACAAAAGTGACTTATGACCGTTTTTCACATCTACGGCCATTGCAGCATCCCCGTGGTCAAAATTCAGATGCTTGGCAACTGGCATGTACTTATGACGGTGGCGGTATCCCTGGCTCATTTGCAACCTTCTGACGAGCAGATTCACTTAACAACCGTATTGCCAGCTTAACGATGACAGTGGTTCACTTAACAACTGTGGCAAGAAAGTCGGTAAAATGGGGCAAAGTCACGTCACAACTGTACCTCTTGACAACATAAATTCTGGGCTCAATTATGGTCGTTCATTCGAGGACTGCCTATATCACGCTCTATGGTACCCCAAGAAGAGAATTTTCACCCGTCAGAACCAAGGGCAAAGAAAGAGAAGGAAGGAAGGAAGGGAAGATTAAATCTTGACTGCAAGATTACTTCACAACTCAACCCATCCAGTGGTGGGTTTCAAAAAAATTTTTACTACTGGTTCTGTGGGCGTGGCTTGGTGGGCGTGGCAGGGGAAGGATACTGCAAAATCTCCATTCCCACCCCACTCCAGGGGGAAGGATACTGCAAAATCCCCATTTCCTCTCAATCATCTGGGACTCGGGAGGCAGAGAATACATGTGGGAGAGACCAGTCAGAATTTTTACTACCGGTTCTCCGAACTACGCAAAATTTCCGCTACCGGTTCTCCAGAACTGGTCAGAACCTGCTGAAACCCACCTCTGAACCCATCTGTTAAACTCAGTTATTTATTTTTATTTTTATTTTATTGAATTTGTATACCGCCCTACTCCCGAAGGACCAAAGCGAGAAGAATCTCCAAGAAAGGAAAGGCTTACTTGTATCCTTTGGGGGTCAGAATGCACTTGGAATCGTGCTGGCAAGGATTCAGGTCCTGAGCACAGAAGTCTAGCTTCTCCTCACACAGCTCCCCTGTAAGAAAGTGATGGAGATTTAGCATTTAGCTAGAATGACCCAAGATCAGTGGAGCAAAAGAATTGGCTCCCAAAGGCCTCGTTTCACCCCTAACACCTGGGAGAAAAATAACAGCCTGTCTTTCCGTTTGCACATTTATCATCTGTGTGACTACTTCTGCTCTCGTATTACTAACAGAATCCTACTAACTGACCAATCAACTAATTAAGATACTAGAATTTTTAATACCAACATTTAATAATGACTTGGATTTAAAATGGATTGTGCTGCCTTTTAAGCCTGGATGTCCACAAAGTATGATCGTAGGCTGATCTTTTATTGCGTTTGGTCTTGGGTACCATAAAAACATTTTGATTGATTGAATGATCTTGATCTCCCCCCATCTCTTCTATCTATCTATCTATCTATCTATCTATCTATCTATCTATCTATCTATCATCCATCCATCCATCCATCCATCCATCTCTCATCTATATCTGTCTGTCTGTCTGTCTGTCTGTCTATCTATCATCTATTTATCATGTATGTATCATCCCTTTCTCTCTATCATCTATCTATCTATCATCCATCCATCATCTATCTATCTATTCATTATTATCTATCTATCTATATCTATCTATCTATCTATCTATCTATCTATCTATCTATCTATCTATCTATCTCAATCATCTATCTATTATCTATCTATCTCTATCTACCTATCTACCTATCTACCTATCTACCTATCTACCTATCTACCTATCTATCTATCTATCTATCTATCTATCTATCTATCTATCTATCTCAATCATCCATCTATTATCCATCTATTATCCATCTGTCTGTCTGTCTGTCTGTCTGTCTGTCTGTCTGTCTGTCTATCTATCTATCTATCTATCTATATCAATCATCTATCTATTATCTATCTATCTATCTATCTATCTATCTATCTATCTATCTATCTATCTATCTATCTATCTATCTATCATATTTCTAAACCACCCATCTCCCTCAAAGAGAGGCTCTACTGCACCACTGGCGGCCACTATCTTGATTACTTTGATAAAGTTCTTGTTTTACACCCTTGTTCTAAACTAAAAGAAAGTTCTGCCTCCTTGCCCTTTAACGTTGTAGCAGGATAAAATGTTCCAAGGAGCATGTTCTACAGCAAGATATGTACAGTAAGATAGTTCCCAGTGCCCCCTTCAGACCAGCTTAGTTACCCTGGACCTTCATCCTGTTCCAAGAACATATATTTTAAATTAAACAGATTTTCAGACTGAGAGAGGAAAAGTCCTGTAGATTGGGCAGGTTAAACACTAAATACATCTGACATCCTCTTTTCCCCCATAATTGTTACAGTAATCAGGCTAAAGTAATGTTGATAAGAATAGCCATGAAACGTGCTTTGAGACTCAAGTTGGCCCTTTGTTTAACCCACCCCAAAAAAGGGGGGGAGGGGCAGGGAAAGACTCTCAGAAAGAGAGAAATGGTTACGTCAAACAATTCTCACTGCTCTAAACAAACCCACAAATGTGTTTATGATTTCTACAAGCATTTATTGGGGAAAAAACCTTGCAATAAAATGATGCCATAAAACAGGGCTGTGACCTGTTAGGAACCAGTCCACACAAATGAGCGAATTTAGAAGTTTATCCATCAACATTCCCTAAAACACAACTTCAGCAGAGGGACTTTGGGTACAGTTCAATTTAGATTAAGGCTATTTTGATGTCCCTAATTAAGTCTGAGTCCAGCAGCTCAGACCTTGTGGTTCATTCAGGCAGTCTTTTAAGATAGCGAATAATGCTTTCAGCCTGGCAGGTGCCAGAATTCAGTTTTAATCACTCCACTGGTGGTCACCAGAGATTCTTCTTCTAGGTTGGCTAAATGAAGTTTTAAGAATCCATTAATCTGTTCTTGGGAAAGGGTAACAGAGGATTTTATTGGCGAGAACAACATACAAATAAGAAAGTATTAGGAACAAGAGTAAATTTCCTTGCACAACATTGTTCTTAGTCTTATGGGTAGTTATGGACCCAAATAACACTTCATTTTAAAGTTAATTAATTTGGCGTCCTCTACTGTTTAGGTTTCAAGCTGAGCATTTTAAAATTAATAATTTAAGGGTCTTCTACTGCTGGTAAACCCACATAGAGGTAGTCCTCAACTTACAACAGTCATGTCAGTGATTTATGACCATTTCTCACACTTATGACTGTTGCAGCATCCCCATGGTGATGTGATTTACATTCAAATGCTTGACAACTGACTCATGTGATCAAAATTTGGAAGGTTGGCAACTGGTTCATACTTATGATGGTTGCAGTGTCCCAGGACCATGGGATCCCCTTTTAGGACCTTCCGAGAAGCAAACTCAATGAGGAAGCTAGAGGTGCTTAACAAATGTGGCAAGAAAGGTTCGTAAAATGGGATAAAACTCACTTAATAACTTTTTCACTTAGCAACATAAATTCCGCGCTCAACTGTGGTCGTAAGTTGAGGACTTCCTGTACAGTAGTAATGGCATTTCTTTTAAAGGTTGTTTTGTTTCCGAAATACAGGCTATCCCCCAAAGACTTTTAGGATACTCTGTAAATTTAAGACCCATCCAAATATCGGACGGTAGAGCTGTACATCGAGGATCAAGAAGCACCAAAATCAAGTTTGATTTCGAGTGCCCTTAAATCAGGGGTCTCCAACCTTGGCAACTTTAAGACTTGTGGACTTCAACTCCCAGAGTTCCTCAGCCAGCTTTGCTGAGTCTTAAAGTCTTAAAGTTGCCAAGGTTGGAGACCCCTGCCCTAAATGTCTTCTTTTGGATGATGGCCATTTCAGCAGCTGGACCCAAGAGGGAACTGAAATAACAAGAGGAACCAGAACCACTGACCTTTCTCCACCTCGTTCAGGTTAGCAGCTGGCAGCAACAAAAGGCAGAAAAAAGACATTTACGGTCAACCGAAACAGCACAGCGCGAATAAAGCAAGGCACGATTAATGGAAGCAGAGCAATTAAGTCACTGCAGACAAAGTGACGATGCGTTTCGTTTTTTTAATTTTATTTTACAGCACAGCAAACACACAAGCGGCCCCATGTCAACGCCGGCACAGGAAGCGGGTGGGTTAAGGGGAAGGCAGGAGTGGGTCTTAAGGGCGGATGATAATGAGCGAGACAAACCATCTATAATGATCTCACCGAATGACCTTGACATCCAAACTGGGAGTTACAAATGTGAATAGGTTAGGAAAGGCAGACTTTTCAACTGGAGGAAATAATATTAAGGAATTTAAAAACATTTCACTAAAACAGGCGAAGAACCGTTGTAGGAATTGAGAATTGAGAAGGTCTAATCTAGAGAAACGAAGGACTAGGGGTGACATGATAGCAGTCTTCCAGTATTTGAGGGGGTCAACCTGTTCTCCAAAGCACCAGAAGGTGGTTTGAGATGAGAAACAGTGGTTGGAAACTAACCAAGGAGAGGAACAACCTGGAACTAAGGATAAATGTCCTGACAATGAGAGCAATCAACCCATGGAACAGAAGTTGCCTCCAGAAGTTGTGCGAGCTCCATCACTGAAGGTTTTGAAGAAGAGATTGGACAACTGTTTGTCTGGATTGGTGTAGGGTCTCCTGCTCGAGCAGAGGATTGGACTAGAAGACCTCCAAGGTCCCTTCCTCTTCTGTCATTCCATGTTCTAAAAGTTTCCGCTTTTCTGATTCAATACATTTTCCGCAGTTGAGAACTCACGGAGCTGAAATGCCCCATTGATATTGTTAATTATATGCTGAATATTTTACGAAAAGGTATATTTCTATCCTGAAACAAGGATTCTTGCAGTTAAATACAAACATTTTATCTTCTTTTTATAGCCCAACGGTAGGTTGCAACTAAAAACAATAAGTTACATAGGAAAAATGTCTATTTAATTATGTTAACTGGAAATTTTCACCAAAGCTTTGTAACTGCTTTAAATGGCATTTTCATATTCCATGAACAAAAAAACAAAAAAAAAAGACCTATCTGAATTGCAGGGCAAATTTCACTACATTTATTTTGGAAATACTGCTTTGCTGCACTTGCATCCTATGGCTATTGGGCTTTCCATCCAGCGTGTTGACTCATTCATTCACTAAGTCTCAAAAGACACTGTCTATATGCTAGTTTTATTAGCCTATGGAGCAAAAACACCTCCACATCAAACCAAACTAAACAGTTCTTGTTCTCACCTGTTTTTCCAAGCTAAAACCAACTAAGCAAGAAATCTGTGATGTATAAACTATGATCATCAACCCTGACTGTCCTTCAGATGTCCCATATCTTGCTTACAGACAACCATCCATGTAACAGTCAATGCTAGCTTGTACCACAGTAAACTAAACCCTATTTCAAGCCATATCTTAGCTGTTATGGCCTCATACTATTAGCAATAGCTCTTAGACTTATATACCACTTTCACAGGGCTCACAATCCTCTCTAAGCAGATTACAGTCAGCCTCTTGCCCCCCCCCAAAAAAAACAATCTGAATCCTCATTTTACCGATCTCGGAAGGATGGAAGGATGAGTCAACCACGAATCCAATCAGGATCAAACTCCTGGCTGTGGGCAGAGTTTGCTTGCAATACTGCATTCTAACCACTAGGTCACAACTCTATAGTAGGACTTCTTATGTCATTAACAACAAATGTTCATACATCTGACCATTTTCTAATGGGGCAATAAGTCATTTATCAGCATCCATTGCTATACTGTACATTAAGCAAACAGATGCATCTCTATATAAAAAAAGAGAATAAATGGATCTAAATTAGACTCCAGAAATGGCAATATTCAGAAACTAGAATTTACAGGAGATAACTAATTTCCCAGGGTTTTTTTTCTATTAGCTCAAGACGGTCACCCTTGAGCTGAAGAATCAAAGGCCGATTTAATCATTAAACAGCTCGATTGGAACAGAATAGGTGATGTGACACCTTTTGTCACGGATTAAAACTGAGACAAAGATATGAGCGTGTACATTAGGGCAGGCAGTCAGTGAAAAGCATAGCTGCTCTGTGCCCATATCTAACTTGTAGGTGTGGGGGAAATCGGTTTCCAGATGAATGGGGCTGTTTAGTAAACAAACGGAGACAAAAGCAATGTGTCCTTGAGCTCAGAGTGGCCTGTGTGAAGTTTTATCAGAATATTCCCATAGCAACCCCTGAATCTCAAGATCAAGATGTTTCTCTTCTCTAATGCCATTGTTCTCTCTAGGTAACAGAAGGGCAGGAAATAACCTGATATCTATTATGTTGTTACTTATGAATATGCACGTCTGCATCATTTCCCCTTAATTTCTGTAATATAGAAATATGAGTGCATCTCTTAGTCTGGAGAGAAGGGTTTGTGTCTCCCACTATTATTTTGGAGACCCTTTTCAATATGCCCTGGTAACAATAAATGCTGCAGTGAGCCTTGATTATTTGCTTTGAATTCTGCATTTTGATTTTATGTAGGTGATCACAGATCAACTTCTAGTAATATACATTACTCAGTCCTTAAGTGCCACAAGATTCTATGTTTATAAACTATTGATATTCAAGCCTATTCATTTTACCCAGGATTAATAAAAATACTAGAGAGTCTTATATACAGCTATTTGCTTACTAACCAGAACAAAGTACAGGGTTCAAAAGAATAAATGAAATTTTTCCTTGCATTTTTTTAATCCAGTTCCGGATGAAGTAGTAACTAAATGGAATGCATATGTAGATTTTATGATATTCTGGATGAGACAGGAATAATGGATACATAATTCAGATGAAACAGGATTGAAGAGTGCAGAGAAGAGCAACAAAGATGATGAGGGGACTGGAGGTTAAAACATATGAAGAAGGGTTGCAGGAACTGGGTATGTCTAGTTTAATGAAGAGAAGGACTAGGGGAGACATGATAGCAGTGTTCCAATATCTCAGGGGCTGCCCCAAAGAAGGGGGAGTCAAGCTATTTTCCAAAGCACCTGAAGGCAGGACAAGAAGCAACGGATGGAAACTCATCAAGAAGAGAAGCAACCTAGAACTAAGGAGGAATTTCCTGACAGTTAGAACAATTAACCAGTGGAACAACTCGCCTCCAGAAGTTGTGGATGCCTCAACACTGGAGGTTCTGGAGGTTTTTAAGAGATTGCACAGCCATTTCTCTGAAATGGTCTAGGGTCTCCTGCTTAGAAGTCCTCCAACATCCCTTCCAACTCTGTTATTTGTTATTCTTTCTGTTATTCTGAAGACAGTGAGTAGGATTTCTTGCTTACTTGGGAATATGATCAATTTGGGATGACATCATTCTCTCCCAAGAAAGGCCTACATTTTAGAGTAGGAATATTACTGGTTCTATCATTGCTCCTGGGGACTCAGAGTTGTGGCCCAACCTTGACTGATACATTTTGGTACCTGTGCCGATCACTGCAAGATAGAAATCTGATTGCAGGCAGCAGATGAGAGGATTTTATGTGGGTCAGTTGCTGTCCAAACAACAGGAAATGGACAGCGGGAGCACTCTCTGGACAGAAAGGTCAGGTATAAAGTCCCAAAGGCACTTTTCCAAAAGGCAACTGGACTTCGTTATTCCTTGAAGATGTTTCGCTTCTCATCCAAGGAAGTTCTTCTGTACTTTATATCTCAGGTGAGATATAAAGAGGCCATACTCATAAAGGAAGAAACAGATGGCTCTCACATTTCACCCCCCAAAAAATCTTTATTAGATCTGCGATTTTATAAATGGCCCAGAATTAGATGTGAACATAAAGGAGGTGAAGTTTGCAGAGGATATCAAAAAATGTCAGCACCATCCAGCAATATGACAACTTGGGTCTGATGACATCACCATGCAAAATTTGTAATTCTCTCTCTCTGTCTCTCTCTCTCTGTCTCTCTGTCTCTCTCTATCCATCCATCCATCTTCCAAAAAATATTCTAACTAGTTAACTAGGTCGGCAAGCTATTTAGAATAGAGAATAACAGATTTGGAAGGGACCTTGGAGGTCTTCTAGTCCAGCCCCCTGCTCAGGCAGGAAATCCTATACCACTTCAGACAAATGGCTGTCCAGTGTCTTTTTAAAGGGCCACCAGGGATGGAGCACCCACAAGTTCTGAAGGCAAGTTGTCCCACAGATTCATTGTTCTCAATGTCAGGAACTTTCTCCTTAATTCTAGATTGTTTCTCTCCTTGATTTAAGCTGAGATCTTCAACTTCCATCTTTTTTCTTTTATAAGGTCTGAACTTTCTTCTCATGCAATTTATGTTGCACAGATAAAAAGCTGAGTTCAATGAAATAGCAGAAGGACACTTGGACAGCTGAACTAGAAGAAGCAGGGATCAAATTTATTAACATACAGGATTATCACACCAGACTATGGAGTTTGTGATAAAGTTAAGGCCTTCTTCATACCTGTGTATTCTGGAGGACAAAGGCAAGTGTAGTTGTTGATTCCATCTATACAAGTGGCATTGTTTTCACAATCGTTATCTTCACAATCGTCAATGTTCACTTCACAGTTTTCACCTTCAAATCCATCGGCACAGGCACACCTGTAAAAGAAAACATACCAGCTCTTCCAACAAACAAAAAAAGATGACATGTGATGCAATGGTGGGCTGCCGCCAGTTTGGACCTGTTCAGGTAATTCCAACCTGTGCGTGGGCCTGAGCCCGTCCACCTGCCCAGGTGCAATCCTGTCCTATATTACAGCATCCATGAGCGAATTCCCATGTTTTGTGATGCTACACGCATACGTGGATGGCGTGCACACTCACATTTCCGGTGCTAGGCGAACTGGTTGTTACGGTATGTGACGTCCACTGCTGATATGACACTTGAAATGTGCATGTGCCTAACAATCTTTTTGATGCGGTACTCTACAAACTTAAAGAGAATTTCAGGTTGGCTAATAGAAAAAGGGAGGAGAGTTGGAACCAAAATCCACACAGGAAAGAAAAGACAAAGTGTTAAAAGTGCTTCAAACAAGCAAGGAAAATTCTCTTGTGGAGAAAGAGACGCTTGGATTCTCCATCTCGGCCCCCCAAACTGGACGTCTGATTGCCAAAGTGTCTTCCTCGGCAACATTGACGCCATTTTGCTATTTTTATTTTAGGGAACTGCTGGAAGGAATCTTTCCATTATAAAGTATGCTCAAATGGAACTACGCTACAAGTTAGAGTATGAAATTTGTAAGGCAAATAGGGGCATTTAGAGTGTAATGGATGGAAAATACTTTGCCAATGCTTGACTCATTTATGAATTTCAAGGGTTCCTGTTATGGAATAAATGCATGCAGAAGCACGTGAGAAGAAAAAAGACAAGGGAGTCAGAAGGAAGCGATTACTTAACAAATTTAGTTTCTCTGGGACATAATTTACTGTATTAATTACTGCACAGATATAATTACTTATTCATGCGTGCCTCAATTGGAAATCAGTGATTATGCATTTATGGCAATCATTATAACTGTTGTTCAGAATATATGTCTTAATTTGTCTTGTGGAAGCCTCTCCACCACAAGTATTCTGGAGAGCTACTTATTCATTTTTTCCCTTATAAAGTTGTGATTAAAACAGCAATTTATCATATTAAACTGTTTCAAATTAATTTCAGAGCGAAATCAATCCAGCCACTGCTTGTCATTTGTGTGTAAAAAAAGAAAGCTAATTGCTTATTAAATAAGGGGGAATCAAAATTGTTTCTAACAAGCCAGCAGAATTTTTATTATGGGATTATGGGATCCATTTATTTCCGTTCTTAACTCCGTAATTGAAGAGCTACATCTGGAAGGCCTGTATTCTGTGATTAAAAAACTCTAGATTAAAAATGCTCACAGCGTGTTTACCCAGCAGGGTGCTGGACTGGAAATGCATTGTTAATTTTGTGTTTCGCTTGGATTTAACTCTGATCATTTACAAGCTGCTGATAGAAGGCAAAGCAAAACCTCTGAATGGTGAGACTTCCAGGAGGAATTTAGCTGGCTGTTAGTTAGGATGACAAGAGGCCAAAATCACTTTATCTTTCCCCCATTGCGCCTTGACTAAAAACAGCATATTGACAGCAAGAAAAGTTTTCAAAGTGCCTTAAGCTCATTGACATTTGTATGAAAGACTTGGAAATCAATACGCATCAATTACTTCATTACTGGGAGATTGGAAGAGGAAGAAACAGTCACAGATTCTGTGCCGGGGGGTAGATGGCTTCCTTTTTGTATGTTTTTTTTAAAAAAATATTTTTATTAAACAGTTTTTTTTAAATATTTACATCTTCTTTTCAACATCTTTGCATCAGTAATCCATATTTATACATTTTCTCTTTCTTATCTTCATATATCTTTTATACATATATTTTTAATATATCATATATATACCATTATAATATATTCTATTATTCTAGTTATTTTATTTACATTTGACATGAACATGTACTTAATTTCCTTTCCACAGTTTTTATTTCTTCCCATTTATTTCTATATTTCTCCACCTAATTTAACCATTATTTTTTTATTCCTTTGTCCCCCCCCTTTTTCCCCCCCTTTTCTTCCAACCATTTATACCATTTCTCCCAGACTAAATAATATTCTGTTTCATCCTTTTCTTGTATCTCCTTCGTAAGCTTATCCATTTCCGCACACTCCATAATTTTTCTAATCACCTTGTCTTCTGATGGTATGTCGTTGTTTTTCCAGTTTTGGGCAAAAACTATTCGTGCCGCCTTTCTCCGGAGACTCAGGGCGGCTTACAATGCGTTAAGCAATAGCCTTCATCCTTTTGTATATTTATACAAAGTCAGCTTATTGCCCCCACAAACTGGGTCCTCAATTTACCTACCTTAGAAAGGATGGAAGGCTGAGTCAACCTTGAGCCTTGGCGAGATTCGAACCAGCAGTAATTGCAGGCAGCTGGTCTTAATAACAGGGTGCTTTAGACCACTGTACTATCAAGGCTCATATGAATGATTAACTATCTTATTTCTTTTTCATATGACCCAGTAATTCTTCCCAGTAGGAAAGTTTCTGGCCTCATTTCTATTTGTTGATTTATAATTTCTTCTATTTGTGTTTTAATTATTTGCCAGAATTGTTTTGCCTTATGGCAAGACCACCACATGGGGTATCTTATTTTTTTTAAAAAAAAACTCACCAAAATCCATTCTTTTCATCTTCTTTTAAGTGACAAGTTCCCCCTTCTTTACATGGGCTGCTGATACAGGCATGGATGGGTACCTCACAGTCTCGACCCTATGAGTAAATGAACAAAAATGAACAAACGTGGCATAGAAAAATAAGGTTATCGATTCCACATCCGAAACCCATCAATCCTGCCAGCATATCTTTCTATCTGTAATGGAATCACAGCATCTGAAGGACAGAAAAAGTCCTTGCCTCTTTTTGGCTGGGAACATGAAATAAAACTGCACCCCCAAAGGGAAGAGAAGCAGTCGTTAGGAACGGAAGGACTCACTCGTATAAAAGATGCAACTAGCGCATTAATTAAAGAACGCAGGTTTTTATTTTTTTATTTAATGTCTTCTATACCTTGAAGCCGTAAGGACAGGAACAACTGTAGAAATCAACCGGATCGTTGTTACAAGTTCCATCGTTTTTGCAAGGGTTGGATAAGCAGGGGCTACATTTGGCAAGAATGGTGACATCCACCGGACCTTCAAATAAGCACAAATAATTCTTTGTGTTACAAAAACAAGCCCTTTCATCGCTGATCATCATTTCTTCCAAGCTTCTGGTGCTATCCTAGTTAACTCAAAGCTGCCACGTGAGATACGGCTATGCTTAAGGAACCTCTACGATGGGAATCAAGCTCGTATCAAGGGGAGTTGAGCAGTTTTTCAAGGAAAAAAAAATTCTGTTGATGGCATAGAACAGAGGTTGTCAAACTTGGCAGCTTTAAGACTTGTGGCCTTCAACTCCCAGAATTGAAGTCCACAAGTCTTAAAGCTGTCAAGTTTGAAGGCCTTTGGCATAGAAAGTCAATAGGATTGAAGTCCACTGGATGATGTTACTTAATTGGGTGAGTTGCTTAGGGCTGTTAAAAAATAACCTTTTCCCAGATCAATTTCCTTTTCACGTCTACATTTTGAAATTTCTCAATTTTACTTTAACGGGTTTCTTTGTTCCCCATTTATCTCTCATATTTAAATAATTTTCCTTGTAGATCACAGGTATGAAGAGCCTGAAGGGAGGGGGCGTCAAATGCGTCATAAGTCACGAGTCCCTGCACCCACAGGAGATCGAAGTCCAGCCCCGCCTTGAATGCCCCTCTTATCTCCCGCTCATTTCCCTTGGCTGTTAGTTGGCCAGATTCTTGAAGAGAGCTTACGCTTGCAATAACACTTTACACTCCTTTGAACTGCCTGAATCTCCTGCGTAATGAACTCCTGCTGCAGAAGGAAATGTTTGCTTTTCTACAGTCAAATTCACAACTCAGTTTGTATTCCTGTCCCTCATGTCCTGCCCCCCAAATATTCTGTATCACCTGCACTCATAAACTTCTGGATAATGGCCACAAAAAAATGCCTTTTAAAGAAAATCTGAAACAAATAAACAAACAAAAACCCTGAAGAATGAAGGGGAACTATGATTGATTTTAGGCATTAATCAGTAGTGAGGGATAAATGGAATGGACTGGATTGGGAAGGGGAGAGTTAAGGAAAGGAAGGGAAAAGAAGGAAGGGGCAAAGGAAAGAAGAGGGGAGGGGGGAGGGGAGGGAAGGAGGGGAGGGAAGTGAAGGAAAGGAAGGGAAATATTGATAAAAGGTAAATATTGCAGAATTTGCCCAGGATTAACACATGAAAACAGAAAAGAAGGCTGGGTCCCCTTCAAGTTTACTGAATTTATTATGGAATCTGTAAATCTACTTAAATGAGCTATGTAAAACAGCGAATGTATATTTGAAGTCTTTTGGAGGAAGGAAGGAGAGATGTCAATCTGCAAGGCATTCAAAACTTTACGGATAACAAGATGCAAAGGTAAGAAAAATATTGGTTTTGAAGAGTGACATAGGAGAAAATAAAGAGGGACATTGAGTTTTCATGGGGAAGAAATGCAGAAAAGGCTCATATCGGGGCCAGAATGGAAGCTAAAGGCAACAGTTGAGTTCACGCTTCAAAAGCAAAAAGAAATAATGGGATCTCTGAAGCTACAAACAAGATTAGAAGAGAAATAATTCAACTTTCCCTAAATTCAATTTCTGAGGGTAGAGAAGGAGCTGGAATAATTATAAGCAATGAACTTGAAGGTATTTAATGGAACAAGCAACGCTTGGCAGGTCTTCACCCACTCAATAATTTCATTTATATTCCTTCTAGTTGTTAACAATGGTGTGACTCAACTCCCATTTGATCTTCACAGCATTCCTAGGAGGGGAATTAATCCCACTATTCTATTTTTCAGCAGTTTCCAGCCTTCCTGTACATTCGGCGTGGTTTTCATGAAATAGGGCCACAATCAGACACCGTGGAAATGTGCACGTGGTCAAAGAATTGAAACCAATCCTGTTGGTAGAATCAGTAAAATCTGTTTTGTTTTTTTTTTACTTCCAATCTTCCTTTGCTTCTGGGAGTGGTGCGGTAGCAATCAGGAGGATGTGAGTTCGATCCTAGGTAGAGACAGATATTTCTCTCTCTGGGCATAATGAGATTATATCTCTGAATAAAACTCTGAATAAATCTAAATGAATGGGAAACAATTTGGAATAGAAACGATAAATTGACAAGAGTGGTAGCGTTTAAAGAAAATCAATATAAAATGCTATATAGATGGCACTTAGCTCCCACAAGACTAGCCAAAATCTACCCAAACATAAGCCCAAATTGCTGGAAATGTGATCACCACCAGGGTACCTTCTTTCGTATGTGGTGGACATGCCCCGAGGTGATGAAGTATTGGAAAAAGATCCGAAATTGGATTCAAGAAGTAATTGAGGAAAATATAGATTTGGCGCCCAAAACCTTTCTCCTGAGAGTGCTAAAGAGGGCGTACGAGAAAAAAAAGAGATACCTAATTATCCATATCATTACAGCAGCTAGATTAATATACGCACAACACTGGAAAGAAAAGGGAACACCACCGGAAGAACATATAATTCAGAAAATCCTAGAATGTGCCAAGATGAGCAAACTAACATACGAAATAAATGAGGAAGAGGATTCGGAATACTATACGGTCTGGGGATTTTGGTATAAATGGATGGAAGATCGAATAAAGAAGGGATAAGAGATAGTGTAAATATTAAAATAAATGGGTAAATTAGGAGACACTATAATAAAAGAATGTATCTAACCTTTATATATTTTATCACTGTCTAACCGATATCTTTTGTATTGTACTACAATGTAATTTAATAAAACTTAAAAAAAAAAACAACAACTCCGTATTGGCGACAGGAAGGGCATTCAGCCAGTAAACACTCAGTTGCCCAGACTCCACCCTGCAAAGGATGATGGGGTCGTTAAAAGAGGACGATTCCTTTGCTTCTGGGTTCGCAGCTTTGAACAAGAAGGAGGGAAGAAAAGCATCACCTGGGCCTCCATTTCCTTCAGCTTCTAGTTCCAACATTTCATCATTTCCTGAGGTGTCTTCACAGCTGTGTCATTTATGGAGAAAGGAGTCCCTGAATGGCAACATCCTTCTCCTGACATCTTCCTCCTCCTTCTCAGGATGAGCAGTCCTTCCTCCCAGCAGCAGCGGTTGTGGCTTAAATTTAATACTAGCCAAAGAAGCACTTGCACACAGGTTAGGGAATTGTTTACTTCGTACCTTGACAGGTGAATTTTTTGGAGGGAGTGGTGAGGAGGAGTTTGTCGGCCATTTCTCCGGGACCGACACATCGGGCGATGCCCGGCTCCTTGTATTCCGACTTCACCCAGTCCGAGAGCCACTGCATGTGACAGTCACAGTGGAGGGGGTTCGCGCCAATCGCTCTGCGAGGGGGAAACAGAAGCCAAATACGCCTTTAATTCCAAGTGGGTAAAATGAAACTACAGGTAGTCCTTGACTTACGACAGTTCATTTACTGACCACTCAAAGTTACTGAAAAAAGTGACCTGACCCATGTCTATTTTTCACACGTACAACCATTGTGGCATCCCTATGGTCACGTGATCAAGATTCAGACGCTTGGCAACGGACTCATATTTATGACGGTCGCAGGGGGTCTGCGAACTTCTGGCCAGCAAAGCCGATGGGGAAGCAGGATTCACATAACAACTGTGTTACCAATTGAACAACTGCTGTGATTCACTTAACAACTGTGGCAAGAAACTGTGGGGTTAAACTGCTGATCCAGTTCTACAGAGGAATCATTGAGTCTGTCATCTGCACCTCCATAACTGTTTGGTTTGGCTCTGCAACCCAACAAGATGGACAAGAGACTGCAGGGGATCATTAGAACTGCAGAAAAAACAATGGCTACCAACCTGCCTTCCATGGAGGACTTGTCTACTGCACGAGTCAAAAAGAGGGCTGGGAAAATATCTACAGACCCCTTGCATCCTGGACATCAACTGTTTCAACTCCTACCCGCAAAGCGACGCTATAGAGCACTACACACCAGAACAACTAGACACAAGGACAGTTTTTTCCCCAACGCCATCACTCTGCTGAACAACTAATTTCCTCAACACTGTCAAACTATTTACTAAGTCTTCACTACTATTAATCTTCTCATCGTTCCTATCACCCATCTCCTCCCACTTATGACTGCATGACTGTAACCTTGTTGCTGGTATCCCTACGATTGATATTGATATTGTTTCCTGATTGCTTATTTGTTCCCTATGACTATCATTAAGTGTTGTACCTTATGATTCTTGACAAATGTATCTTTTCTTTTACGTACACTGAGAGCATACGCACCAAGACAAATTCCTTATGTGTCCAATCACACTTGGCCAATAAAGAATTCTATTCTATTCTAAAACTCAATTATCGCTGTCTTGCATCGCAGAAATTTTGGGCTCAATTTATTTATTTATTTATTTATTGTATTTCTATACCGCCTTTCTCCCATAGGACTCAAGGCGGTGTACAGTCAAGAAAAATATAGACACACAAACATCATAAAATTGCTAATTAAAATTATTACTTAGTTTGGTCAATTAAATAAAACCCAGAATTAGATAACAATTAGATAATTGAGGTTGTAAGTTGAGGCCTAGCTGCAAAGGAGACACAAAGAAAGCCACAACTAAAGAGACTGACCAGATAGACTAGATTCTCAAGGAATGCTTATAATCCAACACCTTTTTAAATTGTTTAGTTAGGATAGTGGAGAAGCAAAGGTTTGGATCATGGAGACCCAGCTTCTTCTCCTGAATTTTGCTTTCAGCCACAGAAGCTCACTTGATATATGTCAGCCTCTCTCTGCCTCATCTACCTTACACAGCTAGTACTGTTGGGGGGGAAAATGAAGGATTGCTATGTACAGAATGACAGAGTTGGCTGGGACCTTAGAGGTCTTCTAGTCCAGCCCTCTGCTCAAGCAGGAGACCCTATTCCATTTCAGGCAGGTGACTGTCCAGTCTCTTCTTGAAAACCTCCAGTGATGAAGCACCTACAATCCACTGATTAATTATAAGTTATTAAAAACAACCATCAGAATATTTCCCTTAGTTGTAGTCTAAATCTCTCTTTGGTAAGTTTCCATCTGTTGCTTCTTACATAAACCTTGTAACTATTATTTGAAAATGTAATCTATGAGTCAAACTGTAATACATGGGCAGAAAGTTGAATTCCTTCAAACGCCATGGTGGTCCAGTGGCGAAGGTATTGGAGCCTAGTCCACCCTCAACCTACAGAAGCTTCCACAGATTTTGGACCCGTCAATCAGTCTGTCTTAGCTAGGCCGGCCTCGTGAGATTGCCCATGATAGAGGCTACATAGATTGCCTGGACCTCTCAGAGAAGCAGCTGGATGGAGATCTTACAAATGAATCGATGGGCACTGAGGGTAGAAGCAGAGACCATCAACCAATGATTCTGCTTTCCTGCATGTGCCTGTTTCCATTTCATGGGTGTTTGTTATTGTATTGAAGGGTTCAGACGTGCTTCGTATTAGCATGACTGGGTGGGTATCTCTCGCTACATAGGTAGCTGAGGTTACCTCAGGTCATGTTCCAAACAGAGTTGCCCTGTTAAAAATTATAATTGGACAGATAAATCCTTATCTGCCTGCTTTCACCAAGGACAAAAGGCAACCAGATAGCTATCCATGGTCCATTACCCATTAGAAGTTTATTATCTGCAGACTAAATCCCTTCCAGTTAACCGAGTGTGAATACTTCGCTCGTTGTATTACTTGAGTGTTCAGCTGCAGCCGATTATATCACCAAATAATTCTCAGGGCAGAGAAATCCATCTCCTACCCAATTACACCGCTAAAAGCATCTTTTATGCATGGTGTTAAAGACACAGCAACCTGCATTTTGCCTGAACAGTATTTGAGATTATGGTGGGAATCTCAGTCAATGGCCCCATAGCTAATATAGGATACTCTAATCCAGAACCTTATTGTAAAGAGGGTCCAAATACTCACAGATGAGATAATGCGGAAAGATCGTTGAAAGCACCTTCAGGAAGAACAGAGATGTCATTCCCATGTAAAGACCTAAACAAGAAAGAAAAATGGAAGCAGGTTAGAAAGTGCTCCTTCTCTTCTCCCAGGAATTCAAGAGAGACCCTCGTCTGAAGAACTCAAGTCCCCCTCACTGTTCCGTGTCTTACTTTCTCCCTTTGTGCATTATTTGTAGAGACTCCAGGACCCAATTTATTTGCGTTGAATTGTATGTATTCTTTAAGTAGATATGGTTTGATTTTTTGCATTTTGGAACTACCCATCTGAAGCTGCAAAAAATCCAGGCGATGTCCGTAATAAAGTTCTTGAAGTTTACTGAACTTAGAGCACAGAGCTTCTTCAGAAATGCAGCTCTCAGGTTGTAATTTTATTTTGAGCTTAGACATTGTTCCTGACAGTTAAAACAATTAACCAGTGGAACAACTTGCCTCCAGAAGTTGTGAATGCTCCAACACTGGAAGTTTTTAAGAAGAGACTGGACAACCATTTGTCTGAAGTGGTGTAGGGTTTCCTGCCTAAGCAGGGGGTTGGACTAGAAGACCTCCAAGGTCCCTTCCAACTCTGCTATTCTATTCTATTCCATTCCATTCCATTCCATTCCATTCCATTCTCATTATGAACTGTATTTAAGCAGTGCAATTTAAAGTAATTCAAGTTTAAGAAGTTGTGTTGTAGCAGCGCTTAATTTTTTTTCAAGCATTCCCTCTCCAGCTCATCACCCAAAGGCACTACAAGCCACCTCTGGATGCAGATGGTGGAGCATTCATGCCGCAGATGTGGCTTCTTGTAAGCACACATAAAAGTACAAAAATAGGAAATGAGTCCAAAGAGTTTTTGTTCAAAGTGAAAGTAAACCTGTTGACTTCATGAACACATCCATGTTGGAAACAACTTAGAAGTATCTACCCCTGCATTTCTCTGCATATTTTTGACTCTCAGTCTAAATATTCACAAGGGCCAACTATGCTTAGTTTTTGGAGATCTGCACGGATGAGCTAGGCTACTATCTATTGTAAGCAGCTACAATGGCAATAGAAAACAAATACACATTTCCCCAGATTTTGCCATTTATGTTACAAGAGTCTATGGGATAAAACCAAATGGGACATTACATCCCAGAGTCACAGCAGGGTTGAGCTTAAACCAAACTGCACACTCACCAGAGTCCTTCTTTTCACAGAAATATGAAAAATAAATAAATTACACAGAAAAGCAAGGGCAGGAATATTACTTACAGCAGCCTAAGTGATTTCAAGCCATCGAAAGTCCGTGTTGGAATACATCTGAGCCGATTGTAACTGAGAATTCTGAAAGTATACAAAATGTTGATTTCTAAACAACATAATGCAATAAGGAGTTACATAGAATTACATAGAATCTTAGGGCTGGGAGGGACCCTTGGAGGTCTTCTAGTCCAACCCCCCTTATCTTGCCTTCTGAAGCTTTGGAAAATAAGTTGACCCCCCTTGTGGTCAAGTCTTGTGGCAGCCCCACAAATACTGGAAGACTGTGATCATGTACCCCTAGTCCTTCTTTTCTCTAGACTGGCCATACAGATGCTCACATCTGTCAAAATCCTTCTGAATCTTCTAAGTGAGGTCTAAGTAGACCACTCCTCCAAGGACCATCCTTCCTCAACTTCTTTTCTCTCTCAGTTGCAATGGTAACATAGTCAAATCCAAGGAGTAAATTAATAAAGCTTATTGCTTCATTGAAAGAATAAATACTTACAAAGTAAGAAGCTGGGTCATGTTGCTGAAACTCTGGTTTGAGAGAGTACTGATTCTGTTGTTGCTTAAATCTCTACAAAAAACAACACAGCAGATTTAGAAATCTGTGTTATAACACGGATATTTAAAAATGAACCGTAACATTGTTGCTGATAAATACAATTTATTAGCACATTATTTTAAATTTGGTTTATCATATTATCTGTAGCAGAAGACTCACTACGTTTTGGATTTGCAGTTATTAACAAGGTCATCCAAACTGAACAAGAACACCAATGGAACAAAAAGAATTGTAACTTATATATTAAAATTATATGAAATATGTTTACTTGAATACAACATTGTTTCTATATATTTAAATAAATTCCTGGCTGTGTCTTTGTATTAAAGAAGATATGCATTGAAGAGTCATTGCCCTCTTTTAAAGGATGCATACATTCAATATTTTTTGCAAAAATGTAAAGATGAGTCAATACTTTATGCATACATACTGCAATGTGACTTATCTCTTATCAAGACAAATTGGCCCTTGCCTTTTTCGATGCAAGCACAGCTATCATGTTGAAACAAACACACCTAATTTTTAAATCTAATGACTTTTTTTTTTAAAAAAAATAAGTTTTAATAATCCTTTGATTTTTCACTACACGGCCCTCTACTGTTGAAAAATCCCAAGCAAAGAAACTAAACCAACTTTTTTTTCATAACTGAGTTGAATACCTTCAGTTTAAATCCCAATTTTTTTACTACTGGTTCTGTGGGCATGGCTTGGTGGGCGTGGTGTGGCTTGGTGGGTGTGGCTTGGTGGGCATGGCAGGGGAAGGATATTGCAAAATCTCCATTCCCTCCTCACTCCTGGGGGAAGGATATTGCAAAATCTCCATTCCCACCCCACTCTGGGGCCAGCCAGATTTGCCAGTTCTCCGAACTACTCAAAATTTCCGCTACCGGTTCGCCAGAACCTGTCAGAATCTGCTGGATTTCACCCCTGCTTCGGTTCATTTATGCTACACCTCATCTCACCAACAGCAAACAGGTGTTTTTCAAAGTTACAAGAGATTCTGCTTCTACATCCCCTGAAAAAAAAGCCTCAGACATGATGGTTAGATCCAAAAGCAGGCCTGTTCCAAAATATAGCATAAAACAACACTTCAGAAATGATACCAGCGCAGAGAAATGCTCTGGAAATTACTTACATCAGAGTTAAGTGCTTGTAGTTTGATAATTCTTTGGGAACAAGGGTGAACTGGTTTCCATCTAAATAACTACAAAAAGAAAGGCATGTATTATTTAGCTGAAATCATTAAGAGTTTATTCCACCACTCTAATATTCAGGGGTGAAGCCAGATGCAAGAAGCACAATTTTGCGAGAGCAAAGTTTAACCTCTACTTTGCAAGCAATGCTACTCTAGTTCCATGCAGAATGAACTCCCAAGTTTCCTCTTTCCGCTATGTGTTTGAGATGGGATTAATATTTATATGTATTTATATATCAAGGTGTAGGTATATCCATATGTATGTATATAGCATGTCTGTATGGCAACAGAATTTCATTTTTAATGTGTGCCAGGGTGCTCACAGGGGAAAAAAATGACAATAAAGGTTATTTTATCTTTAATGTATTCTACACTGGAGTCTAAACAGACAGTCTTTGAAATCTAATATGAAGCCAATAGCAATTGATTCATATATATATATTATCTTGCTTGGTAGAACATAGCTATTTTGTATAGGTCTTCCTAGACTTATGACCGCAATTGAGTCCAAAATTTCTGTTGTTGAGTGAGATAGTTGTTGAATGAATTGCAACACTGCGACTGTCATAAATACAAGTCAATTCCCAAGCTTCCAAATTGGATCAAGTAACCATGGGAATACTAGAATGCCTGTAAGTGTTCCAGACATGCACAAAACAAGAGTTTTTTTTTTTAAGGTGTTACTTACAGTTCGGTCACTTCTTTTGGGATGCCTTTAGGCAGAGCCTTCAGGCCCTTGTTACTGCAACGGACTACGGTATCCAGACAGGTGCATTCGGCAGGACAGCGGGACAAGGGAGAGCAACTGTTGTCATCATTCCCTAGTTAAAATATAAAATAAAACAAGAGTTACCTGGTGGTAAGATGGGCAGCCAATATAATAAAAATGCAATGCAATGCAACACAACTAGGGGTGACATGATAGCAGTCTTCCAATATCTGAGGGGCTGTCACAGAGAAGAGGGGGTCAGGTTATTCTCCAAAGCACCAGAGGGCAGGACAAGAAGCAATGGGTGGAAACTCATCAAGGAGAGAAGCAACCTGGAACTGAGGAGGAATTTCCTGACAGGGACAACAATTAATCAGTGGAACAACTTGCCTCCAGAAGTTGTGAATTTTACAACACAGGAAGTTTTTAAGAAGAGAGTGGACAACCATTTGTCTGAAGTGGTGTAGGGTTTCCTGCCTAAGCAGGGGGTTGGACTAGAAGACCTCCAAGGTCCCTTCCAACTCTGTTATTCTGCATTCTGATCTGTTCTGCTCTACTCTACTCTACTCTACTCTACTCTACTCTACTCTACTCTACTCTACTCTACTCTACTCTATTCTATTCTATTCTATTCTGACAAGACAAGACAAGGCAAGGCAAGGCAAGGCAAGGCAAGACAAGACAAAAGCATTCAAGCAGGGTGGACTTATGTTTAATACCAGTGGGAATGATATATTTGCCATCTGTTACTTTTTATTTGTACACTTTCTATTTGTATCATTAGAGTTTTATGGTTGTTAGTTTGTTTCTCCTGTTTTTCCTTCACTTTGTATTTTAACTTTGGAAATGAAATAAAAAAAATTGCAAAAATAAAATAAATAAGCTTTATTCAGCTAAGGGCACCTAATATAGACGATGAGATGCCTATTAGTGTTCCACTCCATAGACATTTTGAAGCCATTATACCTCCGATTGTGTCTTCAAGGACATGTTTCAATTATACCTTCAAGAATACATTTCCATTATCCATCTAATAGTTTCTTAGGAAGTGGGAGATTACAGCGTTTCTGTTGCTAGAGTAACTGAAGTATTGCATAAACATCGTAAGCATAATAATCATTCTGTGTTATTACAATAGCTGAATCTCTAAAATGAAACGTAGCAGAAGGAGGAAAAGAGAACAAAAAGAAAGAAGAAGAAGAAAAAAAAAACCCAGAAAGAAAATACAGTCTGGCCAAAGAGAGTAGAAGGCCATTGGATCTAAAATTATCTTTTTTCTGGCTTTTGAGTAGCCTGCAGTTCCATTTCTATATCACAAATTGCTCGTGTTCATTTTCCGATCAGGACATCATGCATTATAGCAATAGAAGGGTAAGAGCTGAAGAAAAATAAATCTATTGGAAGCTAATTATTCACAGAAAAGGAAACCATGTTGTTTTGAATGTTTTTGCTACAAGTGTCATTGTACCACTGCAATTATACCACAAATGTCATCGACAAATCCACATATAAACACCAACACAAGATTGTTGTTTATCTCATGCTTGATCCTTTGTCATCTGAAGGCCAGAAAAAGCCAGATTTCTGGAGGAAAGTACTTATTGTTGAAAATTATAAGAAACAAAATGAGGTTGTGCACCATTTTTGTGTGTTGCGTGCTTGACCACAATTTCTTCATCTATTAATAGGACTTCAATAAAGTTCAGCTCACATTTTGGCTCACAAATAAATCATGATTATGGATACTTTTAAAGGCTCACCAAGTATCCCTCAACAATGTGGGGCCAACAACCCATCTGTCTACATGAGCTCTAGTTCAACCATTGGAGGAGACCTTGCACGAGATCCTATAAAAGAAAATCCTTCATTCCTTTCTTGATCTTAATGGATCCATGTGGACGGATGATGGTCCCCCTGGATGAGATTCTTCAGGTATTCCAGAATGAGACCTCACTCGTGCTAGTCTATTTTAACATATTTAACACATTGTGTATATTGGGACAGGCAACTGTGGACTCTTTATGACCTGTGGGCCTCAACTCACAGAATTCCTGAGCCATCATGGCTGGTTCAGGAATTCTGGGAGTTGAACTCCACAGGTCCCAGAGTTGCCTATGTTTGGCCTACGTCATGAAAGCAACATGAAGTTGAAGTCCACAGTTCATAAATGGACCGTAATTGCCTACTTCTGACCTACGTCATGAAAGCAAAGCCAAAGGCCAGGGGAAGAAGAACTTTACAACCACTAGTAGGAACTTAAGGGCTGTGACAAAAGAAATCAAGAACCACCGCGATTCAAGTATCCCCCGCCAGTCATAAAATTTACAGTAATGCTTAGTGGCTTTTCTTTTGTACCTGAAGATCTCAAAACAGCTGCACCCAGATAGATTCAGCAGAGCGATCCTAAGTTACAGCATAACTTTTGCATTACCTGAGAAGGTCCGAGTACACCACTTATGGTCTTCTTAATTAATCTGGATGTGAACCAAGTTAGAATTGATTCAACTCTTGATATCTCCTGACACATGATATATCTATTTATGCTCCGCACGAAATGAAGAAAATTTACCTTTCTTATTTCAGAAAGATCCCTGAAGTCCGTTCTCATGTCTCCCCCTCCCTCTGAATTTAATGGGTTTACATACAATTAACTGAGAGTGGAACTTCAGCTGGAGCCCAACAGATTGTAAAACAATCTCTGGTTATTCATGACCTATTTTTTTTTCCAGGAAGAAGTGAATTAGAACAAGTGGAAGAGTGCCAATTGTTCAGCCTATAGATCTTGTACCTGCCTTTGCTCAACTCAAGGTTAAAGTCAGCCATGTGAATGGAGGTAGTCCTCGATTTACAACAGTTCATTTAGTGACCATTTGAAGTTACAACGGGATTGAAAAAAGTAAGCTATAAAAATTTTTCACAGTTATGTCCTTTGCAGCAGTTCCACATCGCTCAGCTGATCATTGGAACTCTTTTTTTTTTTTTACATTTTTTACTTTTTAGGCATTTTTTTTACTACCGGTTTGGGCGAACAGGTAGTAAAAATGCTTTTAAAAGGTAAAAAAAAAAAGCATTTCACCCCTGGAGTGACTTCATCCCAGGACTGAGTCAGGGTTCCAAGTTTGCTCCCCTCCAGAGGTTCCTCATATTGCTATCAACTGCCATGGGATTTCAGCTGAATTATTAAGAGGCAACTGGGTTTTTTTTCCTTGAAAACATTTCGCTTCTCATCCAAGAAGCTTCTTCAGTTCTGAAGAATGAGAAGTGAAATGTTTTCAAGGGGAAAAAAAAAATCAAGGAAGTCCGGTGGCCGTCTGGAAAAGCCCCTTTGGGACATGACCTGGATGACTGAGACTTTCATTGGAGTTATCAGAGCGGAGTAGTAGCTCACTGGAGGAGGCAGCGGGTGCTCACGGATTTTAAGAGACTCTGTGCTAACGGCGTGATGTGATGCCCAGTCTTGGCTGAGCCCAGGGACTGCCTGCCTTACCATCTTCACAGGTGAAATCCTGAATGGCAACATCCTGTATGGGGATCTCCTTGAGGAAGTAAGGCTTCTGGCAGCGAGGATTGCCCGTCACGATGCGTTTCTTCTGCAGCCACTCGCCCAGCCAGGCCAGGTGGCAGTTGCAATTGAAGGGATTGGCTAAGAGGTTCCTGCAAAGGGCAACGCCACCACATGCAAAGAAAGGAAACAATTCAGACATCCGCAGCAATTAAAAGTTCTTTCATTTTGTTTTTGTTTTTTTTTTTAAAAAAGTGGCTGATAACTCTTTGTTTATTTTCGGTAAGAGAAATAAAAATTATTGCTTTGCTTCTTTGTCCTTTATCCAATTTTATCCCATAAAACTCAAACTTACCCCAAAATGAGAACCTCAAAACCTGGATTGAGGCCTTCTCATTAACAATGGAAAACACCTTCCATCTGTAGTCAAAACACCGGTGTCTACCCCAATTCCCCCTTCTCCAAAAATTCTATCCAGGAGAGCCATCTTTGACTTGGAGCTTAGAAATTATTGAGAAACAATTTAAAGATGTCACAGATCTGACTTGCTGTCAGAATATCTACGCCTGATAATGTAGAAATTTAATATAGAGATGAAGACTGATTGCCTTGTATTATTAAGCTTAACCTGACGATTGTTCTTTCATTAATTTGTCTCCTCAAGATTTCCATCCTTTATCTGCTCCAGAGAATGGCTTTCCCATCTAAACTGACAGCTGAGTTGATTACATGTCGCTTACAAAATGAATTTGCCTGCAGAAGTTTTAAGGCTTCCTGCAAGTCCACGTTTCAGGAAAGACCTTTGACAATTTCATTATTTATAAACATGCCATCTTAAATAGGCGCGAATTAGTCATCAGGTATAACTTGTCACGTTTCAAGTGGAAAGAGAATTAAATGTGTTGGCAATTACGTGTCTCAGGAATTCCTACCCCAGAAACTTGCATGTTTTTAAGTATAGCACACTGACTTCTCCTTCCCCCTTTCCCATTAATTTGGCTTTTCTTCCAGTAAAAATAAAACAATTTCAAGACTAGGTGGTTCTGGAAAAGGACATTTCAAATATATCCATATAGAATGCAAACTTTTTTTTTTAAGCTGGGAGTAAGGGATGCAGTGGCTCAGTGGCTAAGACACTGAGCTTGTCAATCGAAAGGTCGGCAGTTCAGCAGTTCGAATCCCTAGTGCTGCGTAACGGGGTGAGCTCCCGTCACTTATCCCAGCTTCTGCCAACCTAGCAGTTCAAAAGCAGGTAAAAAATGCAAGTAGAGAAATAGGGACCACTTTGGTGGGAAGGTAACAGCGTTCCGTGCACCTTTGGCGTTGAGTCATGCCGGCCACAGGACCACGGAGACGTCTTCGGACCGCGCTGGCTCTTCGGCTTTGAAACGGAGATGAGCACCGCCCCCTAGAGCTGGGAACGACTAGCACACATGTGCGAGGGGAACCTTTACCTTTACCTTTAAGTTTGACTTGATGGTTTAGACCTGCAGAGGCTCACTTACTGAATATATTTAAAGAACAGTAAAGAGAATTATAGGGGCCTGGAGGCTAAAACATAGGGAGAACGGTTGCAGGAATTGGGTATGTCTAGTTTGATGAAAAGAAGGACTAAGGGTGATATGATAGCAGTCTTCCAATACCTCAGGGGCTGCCCCAAAGAAGAGGGAGTTAAGCTCTTCTCCAAAGCACCTGAGTGCAGGACAAGAAGCAATGGGTGGAAACTCATCAAGGAGAGAAGCAACTTAGAACTAAGGAGAAACTTCCTAACAGTGAGGACAATTAACCAGTGGAACAACTTGCCTCCTGAAGTTGTGGGTGCTCCAGCACTGGTGGTTTTTAAGAAGAGATTGGACAACTATTTATCTGAAATGGTATAAGGTCTCCTGCTTGAACAGGAGGTTAGACTAGAAGACCTCCAAGGTCCCTTCCAACTCTTCGATTATGTTATTCTGCTTCTCTTCTTAAACCAAATAAGATTGATCTTCAGTTGTCTCTTTCTTCATAGACTGCAGGCTGGTTTACGACTGTTACACTAGAATTGTCGCAGCCTCCAGCCCCAAAACTCAGCCATCAAAAGCAACTTGTCAAGTGAAACCTATTGTGACCCTTTCTACGTTCCAATCAGCTATTAATGTTCTGTATGTCACGTTTTCTAACGTGTTATCAATATCTCTGATTAACCGTAACTTATGGACTGAATCTCTATTAACCGAAGCCAACTTACAGCGTGGAGAGAGAATGAAGGGTGTCGAAGGCACCGGGAGCTACGGTGGTTATCTGGTTGTCGTACAAGGAGAGCAGCCGGACAGAACTCAGACCTGTGAAGCTGTCATTGCTCACACAGCTAATTCGGTTGCTCCTGAGCATTCTGAAGAAGAAGAAATAGGAACAAACTCTTTATTTCACCCACTCATTATTATTCCTTAGACGTTGCTAAATAGCCTGGATGTGCAAAACAGCATCTTAGAACATCCTGAACCATTCCATGTCTACTTTGGGCCATACCAATATGGCTGTTCTGGGGGTTAGGGGGTCATGGTGCTTGGGATGGGGTCCAGGCTCAACTGGAAGGATGCTTTTGGATCATCTCAAATGGCTTCAGGGCCAGAGAAGAACTTCTCAAAAACTATTGGACTGATCCAATCAGTGTGGCTCAGAAAATAAACATTCGGTTCCTGGAACAGGATATTTTATACTTCCTTAGTAGATGATACAGGAAAATAATCAAAACCTTTTAAAAGTGAAAGTTAGAATATTTCGGACATGTGATGCAACCCCCAGAAAAATACGGCATCCTTCATTTAATCCTCCAGGGAAAGGTTGAAGGCAAACGAGGCCCAGGCAGAAGAAGAAAATCATGGCTTCAAAAATCTAAGGGACTGGTTTGGACAAAACTCAGCAGCACTTTTTCGTGTGGCTGTTGATAAAAATAGGATCGCCAACATAGAATAGAATAGAATTCTTTATTGGCCAAGTGTGATTGGACACACAAGGAATTTGTCTTGGTGCATATCGCCAAGACAAATGCATATCAATTGAATGATGGAGAATGGATGGATTTATGAATTTCTCCACCATCCAGATAGAGCTGAAGAAGCTTCTTGGATGAGAAGTGAGACGTCTTCAAGGAAAAACAAATAAAGTCCAGACAGAACTGAAGAAGCTTCTTGGATGAGAAGCAAAACGTCTTCAAAGAAAAACAAAGGAAGTCCAGTTGCCTTTTGAAAAAGCACCTTTGGGACAACCCTGACCTGGATGACAGAGAATCTCCACAGACATTTAAATGCAAAGAATAAGGAAAAAATGCAGACTTACAAAGTCTTCAGACTTTCCAGCCCTTTCAACATTTTGTGTCGTACGTTTTCCAGCCTGTTACTGGTTAGCAAAAGTTCATTGACTCCGGCAGCTCCTTCAAATACGCCTTCTTCAATATCAGTGATCTTGTTATTGCTTAGATTTCTGTTGCACGTTCATAATGAAGAAAATACAAATATCCTTTAGATCAATCATTTCTAGAACTGAGCTTTTTTTGTTTTTTTGACACCGATTTCAAGAGAGCAATAAGTAAGGCTTGGCATTCACATCAACCAGAGACAGGGATTCCAGAAAAGGGGAAGGAAAAAATTATTTCTAAAATACTATCATAATCTAATGACAAGAATCATTTCAAGAACTTTTAAAATATTAATTTTGACATCTCAAAAGTATTTGACTTACAATAAATCCCATTTTCTGCCTGCTTGAATGTACACTAAATTTTTATCAAGGTAGAATAATGCCAACTAATATATGTTGCATTTATACACAAGTTTATAATTTGGTTTTCCACATTCATAACTAGAATGCTTTTTTCAGCCTGCTAAAAAAGGTAGTTAGCCACCCTAATCTCTATTACAAGAGAACCAAAGAAAAGCAAAGAGGGCGGTAGCAAGTTTCAAAAAAAATAGGGCTGTAGGATTTTAAAAAGCTGATCATCAATCTTCCCCATCCGAATGTATTAAACTTTGAATAATGGCTTTCAAGGCTCATCATCATCTTTTAGCGACTCCATAATCCCTTGCAGAGTGGAGTCTGGGCAACTGAATGGAGCAAGATGAGTGTTTAATGGCCAGATGCCCTCCCTGTTGCCAATGCGGAGTTTTGTTCAGCAGATACATTCTCATTGTGCCCAGAGAGAGAAATATCTGCCTCTACCTAGGATCGAACTCACAGCCTCCTGATTGTGAGGCGAGAGCGCCACTTTAATGGCTTTCGAGACTGATGTCAGTCTTTTGAGGTAGGCCAGGTCAGGAAAACATGACTCTCAGCAATTCCACTTTATGGTCATGGGGTATAATAACAGAATTTTGAAAGCCTGTTCAAATTTTTCTCTGTCCCATCTTATGCTAAACAAAATCAAAGTGGAATTCCCTTGAGCTTGTTTCTGACCCTTCCCTCAACTGCGGGACTGTGTAAATCTGTTCTCCAAGTTCAACCCCTTCCTCATTTATACCTTCCCCAAGATCAACTGTGTTCCTTTTAGAATGAGACACTGAGATTTCTAAACAACTTATATGAAACTTTGGTAGCCTCTTTTCCATCAACTCCGATAGGACTCCCCCCGTTTCTGCAATTCTGATTGGGACCACAATATACTATCTGGAATTTGCAGATGCAACGTATCCGAAGGCATCCAGATTATGATGAGTTGATCTTTGAGGATGTTTTGTGATAAATATCACAGGTGGGTCATCTCAACAGCCTTACTTTCCTACTAGACTATTTCTTTTTTTTATTTTAAAAAGTTAATGATTGCACTGAGACCACTTACACCAGGACAGGCTGTTAAATTTTACTCACATTTTACGCAGCTGGGGAAGCTTCTTAAAGATCCCCGTGGCTTCCAGCACTGTAAATTCATTGTTATTGAGTCTCCTGTAAATGGAAACCATAATAAATATCTATGTTCGAGTTCATGTCTTTAGTAAATCTATGCAAAAACACCAATTAATAACATGCTGTCAAATTTTGAGACCCCAAAATAAAAAAAAAGATTGACCACCTGGTGAAAATAAGCAGACATCGACTGACTGCAGATTTTGATACAGCAGCTGGGAGGAGTAAGCATCAGGATTTTATCTCAAAAAAGAATAGCGTATAACAGTTACAAACAATAAGATACACATTCACTATGAGGGATGCAGAAATCAGACACTAAGCAAGTTATGTTTATAGTTATTTATGGATTTACTTATCTGGGTTTACATTTGTGCAATAAGCAAAATTTATTGGCCGGATTACAACAATTCGTAATTTAAACAGGCTACAGATGTTCCTGAAAAATCCTGCTTAATTAATCTACCAAATGCAAACAGATTCCATATGATTTTAATAAGTAGATTGGTATGCATATCCCACCAATTGAAGAATATATCTGTCTTCAGATCACTAGTTGTTATTGTCCTTTCCCAAAATAATTGACAGATCGATTCAATCTGACATTACACGAAGAATCTGCTGATCTGTCTTCCTTTTATGTGAATATGCCTTTTTTTTATACATTTTCCAATGCTTCATAAATGATTGCACATACATACACAACAATTGGTTTCAGAATATCAAAGGAAAGCTATGGCATGTGTGTATTGCATTAAAAAGTTGTGCCATACATAGGTAGCCTTTTCATCTGTAGAGACAGTCCTAGATTTACGACCACAATTGAGCCCAAAATTTCTGCTGCTACATGAGACATGAGGCTAAGTGAGTTTTGCCCCATTTTACGACCTTTCTTGACAAAGTTGTTAACTGAATCACTGCAGTTGTTAAGTTAGTAACACAATTGTTAAGTGAATCTTGCCTTCCCCTTTAACTTTGCTTGTATTTCACATGTGACAAAACTATTAATTGCAACGCATTTCTAGAAACAAAATGTGCATTCATTTCAAAAGTAATTGTAGAAAATGTAGAGGCAGAAAACAAATGGACATAACAGGATCTTTTTAAGGAATGTGCTACGTTAAATTCTTAATGTGAAAGTCTTGAAGCGTATCACATCCTCTCTGGAAAACTTCCCTTTTGAATTTTGCTATCTGTTTCCCATCTGAAAGTCTTAGAGGGCGAATGAATGAATGAATGAATGAATGGATGGATGGATGGATGGATGGATGGATGGATGAATGAACAGAACAGAACAGAACAGAACAGAACAGAACAGAACAGAACAGAACAGAACAGAACAGAACAGAACAGAACAGAATAACAGATTTGGAAGGGACCTTGGAGGTCTTCTAGTCCAACCCCCTGCCCAGGCAGGAAACCCTAGACCACTTCAGACAAATGGCTGCCCAATCTCTTCTTAAAAACTCCCAGTGTTGGAGCATTTACAACTTCTGGAGGCAAGTTGCTCCACTGATGAATTGTTCTCACTGTCAGGAAATTTCTCCTTAGTTCTAGGTTGCTTCTCTCCTTGATGAGTTTCCACCCGTTGCTTCTTGTTCTACCCTCAGGTGCTTTGGAGAATAGTTTGACTCTCTCTTCTTTGGGGCAGCCCCTCAAATATTGGAACATTTAAGACTTACAATTAGTGCATCCAAATTGTACTTCATCATAGTCTGAGTCTTTCTTATTATTTTAAATTTGTATTTTTTATTATTTATTATATAAATTACAGGCCAGTTGTAGCTCCAAAGAGGTTATTTTGCTGTGCCTGACCACTCTGCCGTCCCATTTCCCTTTAAATAACATGGTTTTGAGTCTTATCTGCTACAGTTTGCCTCGTCCCTAACGCAGTTCAGTACAAATTTTGGCAGCAACCCCCAAGCACATGGGTTGAATTAACAAGTCAATCCTTAAACGAAGCCTCCTGAAAGCAAGTGTCATTATGCCTGTTGCTAAATCAGTCTCTTCCTTGCTTAGAAAAACTCCTCCGTTAGCAAGCATTCCCCGAGGTTGTTTCTGTTCTCCGCTCCCTTCCAGCTGTGAAACACAGCAGAGAATATAATTGGAAGGGCTTCGGTTTGCCGTTTGTATCGTAACAAGCACAGGGAACTGCAGCTCAGAGATTGATATCGCCCGAAGCACCAAGCTTCTTTCTTCTAAAACAAATGTTAACAATATTGTCAACAATAAAAATGGAGGTAGGCCTCATAATAATATTAAAGCATTCGTGGATAAAATAATTACAATGACGATGATGATGTGCCGAAGCTACTAATAATATACTTGTAATATCAGCTAGATAACAGCTGTGACCTGTTGCGTCCTTGTTTCCGAGATAGTGCCTTAATTAAGCAGAGAAACAGTGGTCCAAAGCAAAAATCAGTGGGGATGGGAATGGGTTCTCAGTTGCTGAGAATGGTTTGACTAGGGCTAAATGCTCTCTGGCAGCTGTCTGGTCGACCCAGATGGTGGAAGACTAGGGCAAGACCTACCGAAGGTCTACTGAGCCTCCAGGCAGAAGTCTGGCAACATTGAAGCGACCACAAATCTACCAAATTTTATGGGTCTCAGATTTTGGATGCATTCCTTAAGTTAGACCCTTTGAGGTACCTCGGTTCAAAATCCGTTGCCCTAGGACGCCCTGTGCTGCTCAGTTGAAGGTTACAGAGAGGAGAGTTTGAGTAGCATGGCTGTTTAAGCTTCTCTTCGAAGCGTTGACTTAAAGATGGTTCCATCAACTCACTGAATGAAACTCTTGAAATAAAGGAGCAGGGACGGGACAAACCGATTCAAAGACCGGAAGATGGTTGTTGTGAACATTTCATCCAAAGGCCCACATTTTCAAGTCCAATCAAGTCAACTCACTATGTCTGAATCCAATTGCAAGTTTGCCTTAGAACCAGCCTGACTCATCCACACTCTAATTCCAATTGTAAGGATGGTGAGAATCACCACACATAAAGCTAGTGGTGATTTGGTTTGGGTTCATTTTTTTCCCCCTTTAGCAGCTACAGACATTTCTAGGATAGCAGCCTTTGATATGTTTAGAGATATTGTAGCTTGTTCAGCTCCTTCTGCTGATTGCAGCTTTAGACTGAAGACAGGGTGGCCACAGCAGAGTTCATACATCGAAACTTCGTCTTTCCCTTCCCATAAGCAACAATATCAATCAGGTAGTCCTCAACTTATAACAGTTCATTTAGTGACTGTCCGAAGTTACAACGGCACTGAAAAAAGTGACTTGGGAACTATTTTTCACTTAATGACCATTGCAGCATCCCCAGGGTCAGGTAATTCAGATTTCAGTAACAGTAACAGAGTTGGAAGGGATCTTGGAGGCCATCTAGTCCAACCCCATGCTCACGCAGGAGACCTGTACTAGGGATTCGAACCGCCAAACTGCCGACCTTTCTGATCGACAAACTCAGTGTCTTAGCCACTGAGCCACCTAGTTTAGCAACTGGTTCGTACTTATGACAGTTGCAGTGTCCCGGGGTCACGGGAGCATCTTTCGCGACCATCTGACCCGCAAAGTCAAATGGGAAGCCACAATCAGTTAAGAGCCACGTGACCAATTTAACAACTGCGGTGAGTGGCTTAACCCACATGGCGAGAAAAGTCATAAAACGGGTCAAAGCTCACTCAACAATTTTGTCCCCTAGCAAGATGAATTCTGGGCTCAGTTGCTGGACTGCCTGTCTCCAAGGCGGGACTTACAGTTCTGCCGTGTACTGCGGAATATGCTCGGGGATTTTGTTGAGCTTCTGATTGGAACAATCCACCGTGGTGCCTTCGCAACGACATTTTTCAGGGCAAGCTAAGTCCGCAAAGCAATCGCCACTCAGTTTGGATCTGTAATCTTCCGTGCCTGGGGGGGTGAAAGAAAACATAAAACACATGCGCTTAAGCCCCTGAAGGCGGTTTCCCAATATTTGGTAGAAGAAGGAGGAGGAGGAGGAAGAGGAGGAGAGAAAATAAGTCGATCTTGCAACCGAGACGAAAAGGGTTTTGTGATCGTGAAGAATAGTAAAGGCTTAAGCGAGGGTTAAATTTTAGAAAGCTTGAAATTTGCAGGAGGCCGGTTAACATTAACTGGAGCTTTTCCCAGCCTAGCCGCCCTTTCTGCTGACGAAGCTGTCGGCCAATCTATTCCGTTTTACGGTGGGAAAAACGTCCGTTTTGGCTCAATGTGCTTTTTTTTTAAACCCCCGTTTTAGATCGTTGCACCCGTTTTTTCCCCACTTCCCCATTTTGCCAAAGCCAGCCTTTTTACGTCATCTCTCAACAATGCAGTTTACAGCCCTGCCTTGCTTCTCCATTTGGTTTTATATTTTATTTTTATTTTTTTTTGAATCTATAATTCAGATTTAAGCCTCAGCAGCTTTTTCATGCTGTAGGAAGCTGCGTGACGTTCCATGGTGCTTGACAGAACCATGTTTTACGCATACCTCACAACCACATGGTTAGATCAAGCACAACAGAAAATCTCGCCCACTTAATCAAACTTCATCCACCGGGACAAGGAGAGGAAACAACGGGGGGAAAAGAGGGACAGGAAGGGACAGGAAAGGGTTGCAGGGAGAAACCTCAGAAGGTGGCCGTGGCCTCCCTTGGAGAGAGAACTTCCTCCGTGACGGTCACATCCCTGAATCTGAAAGGAGAGCAACACAGGCGTGCAGGAGGAGATCTGTTCACCGTTCGTTGTAAGTAAGACATGTACAACATCAAACAAACATCTAGAAAAGATCTGAGGGTTGGTTGGTTGGTTGATGGGAGGAGAGAAAGCAAAGGAGGGTTGTGGACTCTTCTTGGATCAAAGGCGTGGAGACCGAGACTCAAAAGAGAAAGTGCCTCTGATCGGAGGAGCAGGTGGCACGATCCACACACACACCCTTCATTACTTACAGCCCCAGTGGTGAACTCCTGGAAAGAGGGAGAAGAAAAGACAGACAAGGAGGAAAGAGAGACAGGGGGATCTCCAGTGAAAACAGAGCCAAAGGGAAGCCTTCCAGAAGACCAAGAGAGCCGAGATGCTTGATCTCACCTAGGGTATGAGGAACAAGTTGGCTTCAATTGGGTGCTTCCAAATCCAAGAGTTGGGTTATTGTTTTAGCACGTACCTTTAACATACATTTCTTTGGTTGTGTGGCTTATCCCAAAAGAGAGCAGGGTTAGGGGAGGGTTTTTGGGAAGTAGAGAGGACAGCAAAAACAACGTGACTTCACACAACAATTAATTCCAGGTACGGGACGTGGTTTGCCCAAGGAAAGTCACTAATGGCCATTAGGGAACTAAGGGGAAGGGGATACAGCTAAAGCAGAACCCTGTGTCATTCTGGTCATGTATGTTCACTGTTCAAGCATGCTATGCTATTGGCTGGGTGTGGAGCTTTCTGGGTGTGTTTGAAAGAAGTAGAAGAAAAAGAGCTAACTTTATGGCAAACAGCTGGCCAACCCCCCCACCCCAAAACAGGTTGTCATTCTGAAGTTCAAAATAATAAACTCATTTGCACTGAGTAAACACTCATTCACAAGTTGGATTCTCCCAGCTTTTAGCTTTTTATATATTAATTTTTTATGGAGCCCATCTGTCCTGAAGGTGACTTTTGCAAGACTAAGGTATGCATTCCATAGATCCATAGTGTTTAGTAACCTTAGCAACTCTTAAGCTGCGCGGACTTCAACTCCCAGAATTCCCCAGCCAGCTGTGCCAAGTGTTTGATATGATTTTAAAATGAAATAGTCATTTCATTTTTCTGATTTTTTTTTTAAACAGAAGTCTCTACAATAACCAAAAAGGCCTTTTTCTTTTTGTAAAAGCATTTCACTACAGCAAAGAATCCAATGGATCTTCTTCCAGGAAAGCAGTAGGCCAGCCTTTATTCCTAACAAAGAGGGAGGCTATCATATCAAATAATTCTATTTATTTTTTGCTGGCAGGTCACGCGTTTGTATTTGAGTCAAAAGGTTCATTAAACTTTGAAAGCCTCCTGCCAGCCAATTATTTTTCACCTATCAGGATCCTGCAATGTAAGAGAGTGATCCTATAGATCCTCCCTTGAACTATCAAGAAAGCATTGGAGTAAAGATTAGCTACACAAAATAAATAATGAAAATGGAAGCATGTGCCAAAGAGCAACAGCCAACGGGGTTGGTGTGTGGCAAGTGCAAGGAGAACTAACGTGATATAAAATAGTGGCGATGTTTTAATTCTTTTCACTTTATCAGAGCAATGGTACCCATGGATAGTCTGTGGATCTTTGGGCAAAGAAAACCTCCCCTCCAATTTTGGCTTGGCACGGTGTGATTTTGCAAGCACGGGAATCAAAGGTCATTAAAAGAAAGGAATAGAGCAAGACAAGCAGAAAAACCAAGTTCAGGGCATAAAAAAAAGCAAAGTGGGAAAGGATTCTTTGGGTTTTCTCAGCTCTTTGATCCTTAACAGGATTCTTTCGTTTTAAAGCAGCTCAGATTTTAAAGAAAAACGATGTTAAAGTAAGCAGGCTATAGCAAGACAAAATATCCTAGCAAGTTCCCCTTCAAGAAACTATGAGCTGGATATCAAGAGCTGCATGCAAAGCCCATGGGTTCTGGAAACAAATCTAGGCAACTAGCACTACTCTAAAGCAGGGGTCTCCAAGCTTGGCAACTTTAAGACTTGTGGACTTCAACTCCCAGAGTTCTCCAGGTTGCCTGCTTCGCTGGCTGAGGAACTCTGGGAGTTGAAGTCCATAAGTCTTAAAGTTGCCAAGGTTGGAGACCCTTGCTCTAAAGGGTGTTTTTACTAGTGTTAGAAAGCATGCATCACTGTGCTTAGAAGTTAAGATAAAATTGCTTTGTGTGACAGCACAAGTCTGCAACTAATTGCACCGCACAGCCAAACCTACCTGGAATGAAATACTGTTCTTTAGCTACATTTAAAAAAAGAGAGAGAGAGAGAAAGAGAGAAAAATAGGAACCTGAGTGTCAGCAAGCAAAGAATTAATTTATTAGACTAAGTAAGGACGACAGATAGGCTAGAGTGACTACCAGGGGGGAAATGTATATTTACATCCATTGATTTTACACAGTATGCCTGGATATAAACTTATTTGCATCAAGGTTAGTTGCGTTATTCTCGAATTTGTCATAAAAAAAAAATTAACAGAATTAACTGTCAGAATAGCTGGACGCCAGATGCTACAAGTTAGATTTCAGAAGAAAGAAAGGAGGAAATAGAGTAAGATTAGAAAAAAAACAAACATCACAATTTATCATGATAGAATATAAGCTTTCCCCAGTAATATGAAGGACATACGTTTCAATTTTCTGTTGCTGGTTTTTTTTTTTAAAAAAAGTTTTTCCTAGTACTCCAGGATTGGGGAAATAAAATGCTGTGAGGAATATAGCCCAATGGTCTGACTTAGTACAAAATTAAAAAGCATTATATAGTCAATTTCTAAATATATATTTTGTGCTTAACCAAGGTTGAGATGTGGGCTACTAACTCCATGGATGTTACACTTCCAGTCCAGACTTCCTTTGATTGCTAAATAATTCAGCTAAGAGCCAGACAGGATTTCTGTGAAGGATGTCTGCAGTTTTCTTTCCCCTCTTCAGAGAGGCTGTGTGAATTTTCTTTGGAAGGGAAGAAAAAGTATCTGGAGAGCAAAAGAAATTACCTGAACAACGAAATTTCTTGCTTTTGATCTGCCCAATCCTTTTGTTGGCCAGACGGCGGGGGCTGGTGCAGCGAGCACCGCTGGTCTCAATGGGGTTTACGTGGAGATAATCTGCCAGCCACTTCAGATGACAGTCACAAATAAACGGGTTCTGAGCCAAATGCCTTTGACAAATAGAAAGAAAAGAACACTTTAAAAAAGGGGGGGGAAAAGATATTGCAGTTGGTTTTCCACCTTTGCCAAAGTTTCCTGCTCTACTTGGGGAGCGAAATCGAAATGCACATACGTACAGCGTCTGAATTGCTCGTAGAGGGGAGAAAGTGCCCTTGGCAATAGTCTGAAGCTTGTTGTCATACAAAGAGAGAAGGTTCAAATTATGTAAGTCTTGGAAAGCATCCACCCGCAGGCAGTTGATCTTGTTAGCATTTAATAATCTGTAAAAACCAAAGAGAATGGAATCGTATTAGGCATTTTAATTAAGCTTTCTTAAGCTTCACTGCTGTAGCGGGAGACTTGGCCTTATACGCCGCTTCACAGTGCTCGACAGCCCCTCTCTAAGCGGTTTACAGAGTCAGCCTCTTGCCCCCAACCATGAGGGTCCTCGTTTTACCGACCTCGGAAGCAGTTTTCTTAGAATCCACTTGAGTTTTCTCAATGTGTAGTGAAGGAGCAGCATGCATCAGCAAGTTCTAGTTGACTTTTTCCCCCCTCCAGTTCTTAGTTTTAGCCTAAACATTAGGCTCTCTTGATGATTTTTCATACAAATATTCTGTTAGGACAGAGGTGGGAAACTGTGCCCCCCCCCCTTTTTTTTTAATTTGATTTATATGCCACCCTTCTCCAAAGACTCAGGGCGGCTTACAATGCGTTAAGCAATAGCCTTCATCCTTTTGTATATTTTATACAAAGTCAGCTTATTGCCCCCACAAACTGGGTCCTCATTTTACCTACCTTAGAAAGGATGGAAGGCTGAGTCAACCTTGAGCCTGGTGAGATTCGAATTTACAGTAATTGCAGACAGCTGGTCTTAATCACAATGCTTTTAGTCTGCTGAGCCACCAGGCCCTTTAATGACTTATGGACTCCAACACCCAGAATCCCTGAGCCAGATGGCTTCAGCTAAAGTCCACAAGTCATAAAAGAGGCCCCGTTCCCACTTCTGAGTTAGGATATTGCCTGTCCAGGTGGACCAGATTTAGCAAGGAGCTGCCATTTGCTTCAGACAAACTAGCACAACGTAAGATGAAAAGCGGCGTTATTGTTTACTCCAAGGAAATTTACTTCTGCCGGGTACATGTGTGCATACTTATCTATGCGTCCTTGTTTGCCTACAGCACATACATGCAGATACATGCATTACACACACATATACCTATGTTGTTACAAACCAAAACAATATTTGTTTCGTAATCACATATATTTTAAAGCTAACCTCTCTGATGCAAGTAATTTTAATATATTTATATAATCATGATTCAATCATTCAACCTTTCTTTTTTTCCCCAGCTCTGTGGGACCTTGCTAGTTCCCAAATTAGTATTTAAAAGCATGGGAATACAAAAATAAATCAGATATTCCTGTTATTTCTCCAGCAGATTTTTCTTATATTCTCGGATCTATCTCTTCCTTCCTTCCTTCCTTCCCTCCCTCCCTCCCTCCCTCCCTTATCATACATGCAAAGGTTGGGTACTTTTGTCAATTCTGTTTCCTTTGAAACCAGTGTATCTTATGCAGCTAAAGAGAATACTACTCATCAGTTGTTCAGTGTTACTGGAGGTTGTTTGTTGCTCACAAGCAACTTTGCTGCTACACCCTCAGGATATCAAATTGTTTGCCCTCACCTCTATGTGACCATTGGTCACATGTGTATTGGGATGAATCAAATGTAGCAAACCACAGGTCTCTCTCAGGGGTGGGTTCTACTTATCTTTACTACCGGTTCGCAATGGGAGTGTGCTTACTTGCTATGCATGCACAGAAGATTCTGCACATGTGCAGATCATCCATTATGACATCTGGGCAGGTGGGCGGAGCCTCCCACCGCTTTTACTACCAGTTCGCAAGAACCGGACAGAACCGGGAGCAACCCACCTCTGGTCTCTCTGTGGGGTTCAAACTCTCTATTGTGAATTACATGGACCATTTTGTGACTATATAGAGAGCATTCCCTTTAGGGGAGCTGAGCAGATCCTAGTGTTGAGCAAAAGAGATATACAGAATCTATCAGAATCATATTTTCCATCCATCTTACTTTAAGTTCTTAGACTAGAAAGATATGGGTGTTACCTATCTCATACCCTGTACATGAGGTTTCACACCCCTCATCTTTCTCCCACTTCCTTCAAACTGATTAAATTCAAGTTAAATCATTTAATTTCAATGTAATTATGAAGCTTCATGGCATCAGCTGTAGCATTGGCTGAAAATGTCCGTGTCAATGTGGAATGGCAGGAAAAGGGGACACAGTCAGCAAGGAGAAAATTGCAGGTTTGTATAAAAAGTGGAAAATCGCATTCCTAGGCATAGGAATATTCTCCGTCACTCATCCTTCAAACAAATGGAAGTTGTATCTGTCCAATCAAGATTGCCTCTTCCCCACTGTCTCCCTCCATATGTAACTATGATTGAAAAATGCAACGTTCATACTTATTTTAAAAAATAATAATTATAAATAAAAAGCCTTGCTTGAAGAAGAGATAGATAGACAGACAGACAGGGAGACAGGGAGGCTAACAGGCATAACTCCAAGGAAACAGCATAAAACAAATGAAATTGTTTCCTTAAAATCGGTACTCTCAAACCATGCGTTCAAGTGCTTAAAAGCAAAACAAAAGGGAAAATCAAGGGGGAAAGGGGGGAAAAAAGGTTTTCTCTTGATGAAGGGTAGGAATAGGAGATGAGAGCCTGAAAGGGTTAGAAAAACCCCTTCAACTTCAAAAGATGGAGATTTCTCCCCTCAAAGCAGGCTGGTTCAACCCACTTCTACCCCAAACTCCCTTCTCAATGAAGACAAATAAAACTGGGTTTTATAAAAGAAATACTCACAGCAATTGAAGAGCGAAAAGTCCTTCAAAAAGGCCCTTGGGAAGTTCGGTAATTTTGTTTCCATAGAGAACCCTACAACAACAACAACAACCACAACCACAACAACAAAAACGGTTAATTAATGCATCTAGAAATTTCCGACCGCCATTTTCCCCCAGAACAAGGTTCTCATGCTGGACCATGAAAATACTTCTGAATAACACGAGTTTATCTGCCAATGTTCCCCTGTCAGTCTCTTAATAAGGAGTCTGGTTAGTTCTTCTTAAAGTATCCTAATTATTTTCACAGATGTCTTCTGATCTAAATCACATTATTAGCGCTGAATTGTTCTGAGAGCTTCACAGGAAGAAAATTGGTTTGCGTTGTTTTTGTTTTTTAGATTTTTTTAAATCTCACCTATTTTTATAAGTAACTCAAGGCGGCGAACATACCTAATACCCCTTCCTCATCCTATTTTCTCCACAATAATTGCCTTGTGATGGGAATTGGGCTGAGAGAGAGAGTGACTGGCTCAAAATCACCCAACTGGTTTTCATGGCAGGACTAGAAATCACGGTCGCCTGGTGATTGGCCCAAAGTCACCCACCTGGCTTTAATGCCCAGCTAAAATAAAGCCACCTAAATCAGGACTGCACAATTTTTACTTGACTAGTGGCATCACATCAACTGCATATCACACCAGGGAGAACAATGCGTGTTGACTTCCTGCAGAGTTTCTGTGCAAATTACACCATTGGCACACCAGAACAATTGCAGGATTTGCGTATGGCCAGTCTAGAGAAAAGAAGGACTAAGGGGGACATGATAGCAGCCTTCCAATATCTGAGGGGCTGCCACAAAGGAAGAGGGGGTCACCTTATTTTCCAAAGCATCAGAAGGCAAGAAGCAATGGATGGAAACTAATCAAGGAGAGAAGCAACCTGGAATTAAGGAGAAACTTCCTAACAGTGAGTACGATTAACTAGTAGAACAGAAGTGGCCTTCAGAAATTGTAGGTGCTCCATCACTGGAAATTTTAAAGAAGAGACTGGACAGTCACTTGTCTGAAAGGGTAGGGCTTGAGCAGAGGATTGAACTGAAGGCCTCTAAGGTCCCTTCCAACTCTATTCTGATTGGAATGAAGGAATGGCCAACAGCTGTATGGTTTCATTTGGTCGTGGAATGAATATTTGTGTGGACCAACCAACCTCTCTGGGTTTCAGACATGAAATACAGCTGGAATTTTCAGTAGCTTGAAAATTCCCTGAACATTTCAGGTCTAATTGAGCTTAAGCAAACAACATACGGAAGTGTAACTGCAATGGAAGTTGAGACACATTAAATTTGGGGGAAGCAGCTAGCTGAACTACAGCAGCGCAATTTTATTTCCTTTCCTAGCTCTCTGGTGAGTACAATGCAGTTTGATAAATGGCTTCTTCTACTACAGTACACTTGCAAAGAGATTCAGAATATGGGGGGTGGGGACATAGTATGTGCCTATTTTTACTTAACTCAGGAAAACAACCAAAGAAATAGTTAGACATCAAAAAAAGAAAAAGAAAAGAAAACCCACAGGGAATGAATTTGCAAGTCTTGTTCCCACCAGACTTCAGAGCTCTATTTACCAGCATAACCTAAAATCTTTAAGCATTTGTCTGTACACATACCTACCGTCTGGAAAACAAATATGCTATTGAAAACTGAATGCAAATGGCCTTACAAATAGTTTTTAAAAGAACTTACATCGGGGACATGCACTTTAAAAACCTGCTTCAGGATAATGTACATGTCAAGGAGTAGAAACAGCTGATTTGCATTAAAAATAATGCAGACCATTTAGGGTAAGAGTAACACAAAAGAAAGAAAACAGCACTTCTGCATGTTAAAGAACATTGCAGACCCCAAAGATTGCAAAACTGACTACACGTATTTTTAAAACATCTGTAGAAAAAATATTGGACCCATATATCTTTACATAGTATAGCAGCATTTTTTAATATATAATTTACCCAAGACGGGGTGAATTCTACCATTGCATTACATTAAACTTATTTAAACTAGCTGTATTAAACAGTGAAGCAGATCTTTAAATTAAGGGTCCATCTATCCTCACCTATTAAGTTTACAGTTTCCTAGGGACAGATTTGAAACTGTCTTCACTTCAGACTAGGATCATTTTCATTAGATAGGATTATTTTTAAAAACAAATTTACAAGTGTTAAAACTTCATATACAAAAGATCTTCAATCAAGATGAGTTTATGTTTCCAAAAACTCCGGTTTTATTAGTATCTGGTAATATCATTTGAAACCCAAGTTCAATGGCTTAACTGCTTTAAAGACAGGTTAAACAATGATTATGATGATAATAAAATTAATAATAGCAGAATGCTGCCAATGAGAGTATCGAACTATAGTCTCCATTGATGAAAATACCTTTAGCCCTGACATGCTCCATGGGCATTCTTCAAAACTAAAAAAAAAAAAAAAGGCATGGACAGTCCACTACTTCCTTAAATATTTGCTACTCTCACCAGTTGTCTGAGTAAATACGCATTGTAGCATACCCTCATTAAGCAGCTGATTTAAAACTGTCAAATGCTATTTTGAGTATATTAAGAGGTCACAGACTCCAACTCTTGGGAGTGGAACAGTGGAACAACTTGCTTCCAGAAGTTGTGAATTCTCCAAGTTTTTAAGAAGAGACTAGACAACCATTTGACTGACATGGTATAGGGTTTCCTGCCTGAGCAGGGGGTTGGACTAGAAGACCTCCAAGGTCCCTTCCAACTCTGCTTATTCTAATCTATTCTTGCAAAGCAATTGTTCCATTCTTCCCTCTCCAAATGGCCAGGACCCATTCGGAGTACGGTGTCCAGTTTTCAGCATATAATTTAAAAAAAAAAAAAAACAGTGCTGAATAAATTGGGAATTCAATGGTGAAACATGAGGAAATCAAACCTTATTAACAGTTAAAGGATTTGGTATGCTTAGCCTATGGAAGCTGAGGGCAGATATGACAGAAGTCCTCAAATTATACAAAAAGAAGAACTTGCTAATTCTCTATGGCTCCAAAGGGTAGAACCAGAACCCGTAGTTGAAGGAGGAGATTCAGACTAGGGACTGGAACTTCTTAACCCTACAAGCTGCTAAAGACTGGAACAAAATTCCATGGGAAATGAAGACTTCTTCTTCACTGAAGACCTCCAAAGAGAGATCATCTATCTCGAGATCTTCTAGTAGATCCAGTATTCAGCAGGGAACTGGACTTCTAAAGACCCTCTAAAAGGCAACGAGATAACTCAGACCTCCTAAAAGTTTGAGACTGTGCTTACGTATGAGAAATCAGTGCCCGCCTACTCCCATCAGTGGGCATGTGATGTTTGATAATATTATGCCCCACTTTGGAAGTGTTGAGTTAGCACGTACCGATAGATCAAATGTTTCCAGCAGAAGTTTCCTTATGGAGCATTTATGACAGTGACTGGCCTTCACAATGTCTGGGCCCACAAAAGCATCTCTGTCAGTTGAATGTAGCCCTTATGAGAGGAGGCTGGGGTACTTACAGGGAATTAAGGGAGCGGAGACTCTGGAAGGCGTCTGGGGCTACCTCTGAGATTTGATTATTGCTCAGATCACTAAAAGGAGAAAAGATATCACAGTTAACACAAGCCCACCTTTTAGGACAGCGTTTCTCAACCTTGGCCACTGTAAGAGATCTTGTTGGCTGGGGAATTCTGGGAGTCGAACTACACACAAGATTGAGAAACGTGGCTTTTGGATGTCAAGGAGCTTCATTAAATTCACCATGAATGAAAAAGATAAACAGCAATTTATTTCAATATTGTAAAGACCCAACTGTGGAAACTAATTTTCTTCTTAATACTGTTAAAAATATGATTTTGTGCCCTGTGTTGTCAAGAAAAAAAATATTTTAACCATAATAATAATGCAAGGCATTAATGCAAAGAGAAGAAGATGGAGAAAGAGAAAGCAAGAAAGAGAGAGAGAGAGAAAGAAAGAAAGAAAGAAAGAAAGAAAAGAAAAAAGAAAAGAAAAGAAAAGAAAAGAGAAGAGAAGAGATTGAAAGTACTTAGCACAAATCACAACCTTCTTATGTAAATTCCGAAGTATTTCTCACTTACATTCGTCTGAGCTTTTTATAGGGTGAGAAAGCTGCAGGTGGAATGACCTTGATTGAATTTTGCTCCAGTCGTCTAACAAAAAGAGAAGAAAATTAATACTGGATGCTCTAAAACCCATCAGAGGGAAATAAGATATTATAACTGTCGCCTGTATCTATGAGAAAGAACACTGTATAAAAACATGGGTAAAGTTACACCATGAGAATAAAGAGGCTGGAGTTGTTTTTAATTTTAAATGCCGAAAAAATATTCTGTCAATTTGATATAGACGTTAGTGATAATCTCCATTAAGTACTAATCTTATTTTGCATTTGTGGCATACTATAAAACATACTGTATGTTATGTTTCATCTGTAAAAAGGCAATACAAAGAAATATATTAGGTAAATATATTCAATATTTGATTAACATAGGATTTATGCTCTCTCCCCCCCTTGTAAAATTAGTCAGTAATAGTCAGATGAGAACTAGAAAAAAAAAAGATTCAAAAATGCATGGATATCTGCATATGTAATACAACAGTCCATTTAGCGACCATTCAAAATTACACCGGGTTGATAAAAGGATCGATTTTGGACAGTTTCTACGGTTTCTACGGTTTCTTCCATAGCTATAGAAATGATGTCTATTTTCATAATAATACTTTTCCCTGCACTGTGAACTAATAAAAATGTACTGGAAAAGCTAATGGAAAATAGAAAAACAAAAGGTTAAAAACCTTGCTAAAGGTAAAGGTTCCCCTCGCACATATGTGCTAGTCGTTCCTGACTCTAGGGGGCGGTGCTCATCTCCGTTTCAAAGCCGAAGATCCAGCGCTGTCTGGATCACGTCTTCGTGGTCATGTGGCCGACATGACTCAACGCCAAAGGCACACAGAATGCTGTTCCCTTCCCACCAAAGGTGGTCCCTATTTTTCTTCTTGCCTTTTTTACTTGCTTTCAAACCGCTAGGTTGGCAGAAGCTGGGACAAGTCACGGGAGCTCACCCCATTACGCGGCACTAGGGATTCGAACTGCTGAACTGCCGACCTTTCAATCGACAAGCTCAGCGTCTTAGCCACTGAGCCACCGCGTTCCCTTAAAAATCTTGCTAGAGACTTGGAAAAACAAAAACTATCACTGAATCTAGCCTGCAGGGACACATTTATAGGAAGAAGCTAATCTTCACTTTTATTTCATTGCAATGCAGAAACAGCTGTTAACTAAGGATAGAAAGAAGAGTGCCGAAAATAAATAATTTGTAAACCGGCATAGCAATTGTAAACTATGGTGTTGTTTAATACCAGAATTCTTTCTTGATATACTGTCTATTACCATTAATAGTGCAGCCACCACCATTTCTGAAAAGCCTCTTATGTTAAAATAATAGGGGTCTCTAGAGGTACGGTGGACTGACACTCAAAGAAATTGAGGTGATTGTAGCCGTGACCTGCATTATGCCTCTCTAAACATTAATATTTTCTGTACGATAGAAGTAACAGAGTAACACAACTGTGTGTGTTTTTTTTCCTTAACTGTGGAATTAATTGCAAGAATAATAGAGTAGCCATCCTTTACACTCCACAGATAAGCAACTGTTTCTGCAACATGTCATATGTCAAAGTTGGAGAACCATTTGAGATAGGATAACCATTTGTCTGAAGTGGTGTAGGGTTTCCTGTCTAAGCAGGCGGTTGGACTAGAAGACCTCTAAGGTCCCTTCCAATTCTGCTATTCTATTCTAAAGTCACTTGGGTACCCTTCTACATCTGATATAATTAATGAATTAACTGTTCAACCAAACAGCATTTATTTTCATTGGAGATCCCATTGATAAGAGTTAAGGTCATAAATCCTGAGCTGTCAATATCTAATGATCAATATATTGAACTCCTGGAGTTCACCAATGATGTCAGTATGGAATTGCTACTTAAGTCTATTTGTGCAGGGACAAATAGTGCTCCCTCCCTCCCCAAAGCTGTGTTGGGAGGAACCTATTAGGAATTTCCGTCTCTTTGTGGACGGAAAGCTTTGGCAAGCAACAATACCAACAATTCAAGTGACGCAACTACCCAGACGCAAATACAAAGTTGTATCAAAGCCACATCGGTTCATTCGCAGGAAAGTTAAGCTGCTAGGAAGATCTACCCTGTTTCTCTACAGTCCACTTCATGATTACACGAACCTTGGATAACAGATGTTAGAAAGACAGGAGGAAGACCTCGTTACTTACATTTCTGTAATGGCTTCCGGAAGATTGGTGGGGATTTCAGTAAGGCCTTTCCCTCGGCAATCCACAATGTTGTTACTACAGGTACACGTAGCGGGGCAGTGCAACACACTACAGGAGGGAGCCATAAAAGACTGGTGACCTGAAAAAGCAACAAATGGCCACTTCTAGAGCTGCAAGACGGCTATTCAAGAAAAGTGCAACGAAGTGAGGGGTGGATCCCAAAAGGACCGTTCTGAAGCCTTCCCAATCTTCTTAATATAAAATGCCCACCACAACTCACATTGAGACACTTCCACCGAGTACCGTAGATGAGTTAAAACCACAGTCGGGGACACTCAGATTTCAAACGATGTACCCACATCTTGAGTAATATATTATTTATAGGTATTTCTATTTTAATTTTGAATGGTAGAAAAGCAAATAACATTTTTCAACATGCGCCATGCATTCTCTCACGCGACTAGTTCAACAACAACAACAACAACGAAAAAGAAAGGAGTTCAGAATGATAGCATCCCATCGGCAAGAAAGAAGGAAATAAATCCATGTTCGAAGTGCATGTTTTATTACCCTACTGACCCCAACCATTATTGTAACAAGTTTTTGTCTGGGGAATTACGGGAGTCGATCAAGACATCTGGAAGGAATCCAGGTTGGGAAAGATTAGCAAGGCTGCAATATTTCCTTTGCGTACATTTGAGACATTATCTGCAGAGCTTCTCATCAAGCATAACCATCAAACACATTTAGGGGAGGAATAAAAAAGAACGGTCCACGTTACAGTTTTATACATCAGGTTTGGGCAACTGGGATGTATTAAGAGTGACTGACAATTAACTGATGATACAATTGATGATGATATTATTATCATTAATTATTATTGTTATTATTAAAAGTGAACTTGCCTTCTTCCTCATCTGGAGGTTATGAACAGAGAAAAAGAGACAAATGTTAGCAACGGATCACTTGTCATTTCATAATTCTTTCATGACAAGCAAACAAGAAACCCACAGATGGTAAAATATGTAAGGTGCCTGCTGTTTATTGTTCTCATTCAGGCTTTTTTATTTATTTTTTGTGCAAAAGTAAGTTATTAATTTTGGATGGGGATGTGGAACTCCGCAGAGCCATAATTTCACCTCTTGCACTGAGCTGTTACTATGAAAAAGCCAGAGTTTGTGGCAATCAAATATGTAGCGTCTAGCTTTCCTCCTTCTTCTTCTAACATAAGTTGTTGTAGACCTAGGAGCCGATATAACTTCTATCAGGCAGGAAAGAATTACTGTGTGAAGGAACGAAAGACGTAAATAAGGGCCAGAATATTGGTTCCTTCCCCCTCCTCCAACTTTTCTAGTTGTGCGGATTGCATTTCTACAAGCCAAACGAGGATGAAACCAAGATTTCCAAGTCCATTTTCTAAGTCAGCTTTCTGATGTAGCCTTCATTGCGCCACTCAGAATCCTGGAAAAGTGGATTTCCAGCAGACTTCCATGGACTACTTGTTAGTGAAACTAGCACGCAAATGTGGTTTTTCAATCTCGTCTTGCATCTATTAAAGGGATGGTGGAAACACCCGGCTGATCTTACCGCTGCAGATGAATTCTCGTTTCTGAACCTCCGCTATGTTATGTCCGCGTAAGTGTAACGGGGACATACACTGAGTGTAAAGGCCGACTCGGGGTCGTTGACGTAGCCAGTCTGATAACCAAGCCAAGTGGCAATCACACTGCAGGTTGTTGGAGTGAAGGCGGCTGGAAAAAAAACACACACACACACAGTTTCAAAAGTCAGTGCACAAGATGGAAAAGTGAACCAAAGAGTACGAGATCAATAGATTGCTTTTATTTACGCCTGTAATGCCGACTCAGATTGAAGGTTAAAATATGACACTTTCCTGCCCTCCTCATTTGGGAAGCGACCATTCATTCCTGCTGTCGGCCCAAAAGGAACTGATTATTTCAGAGGCTAATATTGTCTAATATTGAAATTCAGGCTTTGGGGGCATCAACCTTGCTACTGCATTAAATTAACACGGATTAGAATTTATTCAAATATATTTAGGCGTATTTCACATGCAAGTTTCAGCTTGAGGAGTGGAGGGCAAATGCCGACGAGATTCAATTAAAACACTGTTGAGAGGCCTTATATTTTTTATATTAGGAAGAATCTGGAAAAAGTATTTTGATTTAATTAAGCACTGAGGCTTACTTTTTAAAAAAAAAAAAAGTTCAAATATTTCTCATTTATCATACTTGACAGCCAGTCACAGATGGAGTTGTGGAATTAAATGAAACACGACTTATTTAATTCCACAAGATACCACTAATTGCATCAAATATATCTGTACTACTTTAAATATCAATCTATCCTTCTTGATATTATCGATATTTGGTTATTTTTAAAAAAACACAATCTATTGGCCTAAATGTTATCAACATGCTACCTCTGAGCGTACAAGAGTGAGATTTTTTCCCCCGTCTTCAATGAAACACTATTTCTCTTCAGAGTTCCTAAAATTATACATTTCTTTTCCTTGAATTCAATTCCCTCCCCATCTGCCAATGGGAGCAGATTTAAAATATCCCAAAACTTTAATCCGGTGCTTCTAAAAGGGAAAACGGACTTCTCAAAAGGCATCCTCAGATTCTGACACCTTTCTAGTAGGAAACTGTAATTACTTACAAGGTTCTGAGTTTCGGCATATGGTTGAAACTTGCCACCGAGAGTCGTGTGATGTTGTTGTTATTGAGAGTGCTGCAAAATATTAAAAATAGGTATTTATTTATTTATTTAGGTACAAAGGTCTCCAGTTACTCTTATATCTATGAACAATATTGCATTCCATTAATAAGAAAGAAAGAAAATAATGAACAGAAGCAGAATTCCTGTCCCCAATTTTGAAAACCAGAAATGAACAGATTATTTCTATCTTTATTTTTTTAAAGGCCCCTGTGCCTCAACCTTTTCACATGGCAAACAGAAGACTGCTAATGTAATAAATAAATATAAACAAATAAAATCAACAAAATATCTGGAATTAGAAATAGCAGTCCCTCAACATTCAGAATGAAAATTTAACAATGTTGAGGTAATCACAAACCTGAGGCATTGTTGTAGCATCATGGTAGCTAAAGCATTTTCTTGACATGCAGTAAAAGGTAACAAATTTCAACATTTTTATCAACACTTGGCTTAGAAAGATCCTACCAAAGCTGCAAAATAACCCAACTGAATAAATATTGCAAAACACAGAGTACTGTATTTGAATAGTAACAACCACAATAGCAATTAAAAATATTTCTGCTGGACTTCAAAGTAGAAACCTTCTACCTGCCGAGCAGATCTTACAGCTGCAATGCCATTGTGATTTTACTCCAGTAGTGGATGAGACAGAGAATAGGGAGTCACACTTGGGAAAATAAACAGAAACTGTTTATTTTAAAGCCATTTACTATGTACACATATGTGCAGATACCAAGGCTTTAACTTTGTAAACAATATTAATTTTTTTAGATAGATAGAAAGAGAGAGAGAGAGAGAGAGGGAGGGAGATAGATAGATAGATAGATAGATAGATAGATAGATAGATAGATAGATAGATAGATGATGGATGGAAGATAGATAGATAGATAGATAGATAGATAGATAGATAGATAGATAGATGATGGATGGAAGACAGATAGATAGATAGATAGATAGATAGATAGATAGATAGATGATGGATGGAAGATAGACAGAGATATAGACATGACAAAGAAAATAGTGCTATCTTTGACAACAAGAAACCTCCGTCTGAACAGGAAGATTTAGTCATGCCACCCATATACCTGGGTCAGTTAGAGAACCAGCAGGTTTCAGTGACTTTGTGCATTAAAACTGGGGAAGGTTGCTCTGAGTGAAGCAGCCACTTCAGCAACTGAAGGAGAAAAAGGTTTGCCAAGAGCAGCAACCAGCCCTAGAGGAGTCCTATTGCAGATGTGAAGCCCAACAGGCAAGTCAAACAGCTTCTCTTGAGCAGTTCAAGACAGAAAGCACAACTTTTCATGTGGAGGCAGAAAACATGAAAATATATGCAATATATGCTAAAGGTGAGCAGAGGATCAAGTCCTCCATCCAACCAGAGTTGGAACAGGTCAATGTGATCCATGTGAATCAGCCTTAAATCTTTGCTTGCTATAAGCATTGAGAAATATTTTTTGAAAGGCATTTAACCCTTAATAGCATATTGTTTATCAAGAACCCTTAATAGCATATTGTTCCAATGTCTCAGGGGCTGCCACAAGGAAGAGGGGGTCAAGCTATTCTCCAGAGCACCAGAGGGCAGGACAAGAAGCAACCGATGGAAACTAATCAAGGAGAGAAGCAACCTAGAACTAAGGAGGAATTTCCTGACAGTGAGGACAATTAACCAGTGGAACATCTTGCTACCAGAAGTTGTGGATGCTCCAACACTGGAAGTTTTTATGAAGAGATTGGACAACCACTTGTCTGGAATAAGGTTACCTGCCAGGGCATGGGATTGGACTAGAAGACCTCCAATGTCCCTTCCAACTCTGTTATTCTAAAGTGATCTCTGTTATGCTAAAGAGGTCAGCCAAGAGATATAAGACTATCCAATTATATTAAACATCTATATCAGGATACAGGAGTGATTCTGATTATGAATTACTAGTCACTGAGATTTTTTATCAATACATAAACTGTGTTAAATATAAAAAGTATGGCTTCTTTATAAAATTACTTATGAAGCATGTTGCTTGTAAATACCAAATCACACTGTAACAGTTTTCCTGATACAACTAAGTTCCTCATCCTAAAATCATCCACATAGATCACTTTTGTATACATAGTCACAAATTATGAGACTCGTGTTCATAACTGGAAACATTTCTTGAGTGTGTTTTTTTAATGCCACTCAACTGAGAATGTGGCAGAAGAGTCTTATTTCAAATGAGTTATCCTTTACAAAGACCAAGTCTCCACTCCTCACAGTCAAATATTAATTACTTAAGCAATGTTATCACTAAATCAATCCCAAAGGTGCTTTTTCTTCAAAAGGCAACTGGACTTTCTTGTTTTTCTTTGAAAATGTTTCGCTTCTCATCCAAGAACTTCAGTTCTGAAGAGTTGAAGACCTGAAGAAGCTTCTTGGATGAGAAGCGAAATGTCTTCAATGAAAAACAAGAAAGTCCAGTTGCCTCTTGAAGAAAAAGCACCTTTGGGACAACCATGACCTGGATGACCAAGAATCTCTATTGTCACTAAATCGGTTTTCAACTTTGACAGCTTTAAAATGTGTGGACGTCAACTCCCAGAATTCCCCAGCCAGCACTGAAGAGTCGAAGTTCGCACATCTTAAAGTAGCCAAGGTTGAAAAAAACACAGCATTCAATTAAGGGCTACTCTTTGTACATTCTCCTTTGCAACAAACAATTGCTTTCAGATTAAATGATGAATCTTTATAGGACCGTTAGCAGAGAGGGAGCGGATGTCAAAAAATAATAATAATCACAACATTTACATCACAAACTTCTGCAATGGTGGAATTACCTGAATGAAAAGTTAGAAGCAAACTAATAAGCAGGTCACACCGATTTCATAGCTGGATGTTTTATAGAAATACCGGCATAAAGAGATAGTTTAAATAGTTAAATGATCATTATGATAATAAGCTGCTGGTGAAACACACAGACCGCTGGAAAAAAGTCTCAAGATTTGTAAAATAAATAAATAAATAAATGACGTATTTCTTTAAGAGATAATGCAAGGGGGCAGGAACAGAAAGATGGTTTCTCTTTCTTATAACTTGTAGATAAGGTGCCCACCGTAACAAAGCTTATGCTCAGCCCTTTCTAAAGAGGTTATTAATGGTCAGGTCGAATTCAGACCATGTACCTGAATACAGATATATTTGTCTGTCATGAGATATGCTAATATCAGCATTTAGAAATGTCTAAAATGTGATGTTAAAAAATCCTCTTTAAAATACGCAGAATATTTAAAGAAAAAGTCTTCATACAAAAAGTAGAACAATGGATGCTTTAAAAGGATTTGGATCAGCTGTTTCAGAAACCTTCTATAAGAGGGACATGGCTGCTTTAAAGAGCTGATGGTCTCACTTCAATTTCAAAAAGTGGCCACAGCCCTGAGGAAAAGAAATGTAAAGCTATATAAAATCATTTTCATTTTATTTGATTAAATGTTATGTTGAAGGACCAAAGCATTCGGGCCAAAAGGAACAGAGAAAGTAACCCCTCGTACGAAGCCAACAAAAGATGATTGAATTCAGCAAAACAATGAAACCGATTTTCAAAACTTAAAAATAGTGAAGTGTGTAACAATTGCTGAAGTCAAATCGTTTACGGCTCTAGCAATTGCAACCGTTTTACAGGTCCTTTTGGAGATCTATTCTACAATCTCCATGCTAAGAGTAGGGAAACTAAAACTCTTAGCTAGCCCAACAGTTTATGGAGCAAAATTCATATCACCTGAAGTGAAATACCCTCCCAAAGTTAAAAAGAAAGCAATGATTTCCATTTCGCCTTTTTCATAAGAATCAAACATCATACCTCAAAAATGCAAGGATGCTGTGATTTTGAGAGACAGGTAGAAGAATAAGGCGGAAAATTCTTATGGAATTTTTCCACAGGAAAAAATGAAGAATTACTGGGGAAATTTGGTTTCATGTATTCCAAATGAAAGCTGAAAGAACCAAATTTGTCCCATAAAAGAAGACGGTTTCAATTCTTCCAAAGACTTGCCCTAAATTGCAGTTCCTCCCAATCCCTTGTATCTGTTCACTATTACTAAGTTCAAGTTAAAAAAGGAGAGGTGACGAAAAGCAAAAAACAAATTCACCAATTGGAAAAAAAAATCCATCAATCAACTGTGCTGATTTTCCATACTTTCTGTATTCTTTTCAAACACTTTCCAAATCTTCTCAGCACAAAAAAAAGCCAAAAGTGCTTTTTTTTTCTTTCCAAAAGACAACTGGATTTTCTTTGTTTTTCCTTGAAGACGTTTTGCTTCTCATCCAAGAACTGAAGAAGCTTCTTGGCCGAGAAGCAAAACGTCTTCAAGGAAAAACAAAGAAAATCCAGTTGTCTTTTGGAAAAAAAAAAAAAAAGCACTTTTGGGACAACCATGATCTTCATCTGACTACTGATGCTTTCTACATTTTATTTTTAAAATATTTTTTAAAAGTCCACTTTGAAATGTAATCCTGAAAGATGAGATAAAAACATCTCACTTATAAAAATCTTGCCAACCGAACTAGTTTTTAAGACTTTTTTTTTTTTTTTTAAAGAACATATGCATAGGTTCATGCAGATGGCATGGTCTTGTAGTGAAATTTCATATTTAATAAGTGATTGGTAAGCCTTATTTTCTTTACCCAAAGAGCATGCAAATCAGACTGGTTGGTTGTTTCATGACAGCATATAAATTATTTCACTTTGATGAAAATTAATGAGCCACTATCATTTATCCTCAATAGTTGGAAAGAAGTTTGGGGGATTAAAAGATTGATTTGTTCACTGCAGGAAAACTCTACCATACTGGAAGGGTTTCCAAGAAATACTTTGGTGCTTAATATCTGATGAAAAAGTCCTATTGACTTCTGTTAAGCTATTCCACAACTAGCAGCTTGGGGAAGGATCTTACTCAGTAAATAAATACCCATCCTTAATAGGGGGGGAACCACATCTGTCGGAAACCCCATGTAACGGGACCAGCTAATATCCTGCTGTGATCTGAAGCTGCTTAAGGACATTCAAGGCTTCCCTTTGCTCAGTGCAAAACAATGATATGGAAAAAGAACAGAACGGTGTTGGATCTGAACAATGGGGAATGCATGGACCAAAATGAACTGAAATATCGAAGCCTTCGATCTGCTTTTCAAAGAGGTTTGCTTTGCCTTGAATAACCAGAGACGGTGTTGGGAGCGAAGGAATCTCTTCCCACTTCCCGTACATTTCAAATTGTTTGAATCACAAGGGCATCCTTTTGCTTAAGCCTTCTGACCCTCAGCCACTCCAGCTACCCAGCCCAGCTCCTAGAATCCGACTTTCCCGTTTGAGAGAAGGAGAGAGGATGCTACTCACAGTACTTCCAGATCCCGCAGCGCTCTGAATGCCCCATCTTCAATACAGCTGATCTGGTTGAAATCCAGTTGCCTGTTTAAGAGAGTAGGAGGGGACAGGTGAAGCAGAGGAAAGCTAGACACTGGGTGGCTTAAAGAAAAAGGGCTCCTTAAGAGAAGAGGCTTGAAAGGCAGGCCGTACAAACGGAGATGGACTCCTTGGGACGCTTCAAGAAAGTCACCCGGCCTCCTGGATTGGATGCGATCACAAAAAAAATCCCTTTTTGTTTTGTACGCCGTGTGCAAAAACACCACAGCCCTGGGAAAGCTCCAGTAAATAATAACTGCACCTTATATTAAATGCCAAAGGAATGCAATTTCATTACATCAAGAAAAGCTATCCATTAAAAGCTCTCAGCGTCATCTCGCTGAAACAATTTCATTAAGGTAAAGGGCTGTAAATCACTTAATGTCGTGCATCCCCTCGGTGACCCAACAGAATCCATTTATCAGAGAAGCACAGCTGCATGTTAATTTCAGCATCCTTGGCAGGAGCGGGAAAAACCACCCTTCGCTCTGCTCAGGCAGCCTCTTTCCAAAATCCTTGGGGGCAGACACTGCCTCGGTTGTCTTAAAATCCCTGCCTGTTGCAGTTCGTGAAAATAAACCCCAGTCCACGAAGGCGGTTGGCATTTGACGTGCCTCTATGCAGATAAAGGCAGGTTGGATTTATGGAGCTGATCAGGGCGGAGTCCAGGCATTATTAAATTCAAACATTAAGGTAAAAATACCCCATAATCAACTTTTGTTTGAAAACTGTTAGGTTTTCTAATTCAAAACACGGACAATGATGCATATTGCAAAACAAACAAACCTCTGCATTATTTCTAAGTGGCTAATAAATAAGGTAGTTCTTGATTCACATCCACAATTGAGCCCAACATTTAGGTTAAGGTGAGACAACGGTCAAGTGAATTTTGTCCCATTTTACAACTTTCCTTGCCATATTTGTTAAGTGAATCATTACGGTTCTTAAGTTAGTAACATGGTTGTTAAGTGAATCTGGTTTCCCCATTGACTTTGCTAGTCAGAAGGTCGCAAAAAGGGATCACACTGCAACCGTCGTAAGTATGAACAGAATAGAATAGAATAGAATAGAATAGAATGGAATGGAATGGAATGGAATGGAATGGAATGGAATGGAATAGAATAGAATAGAATAGAATAGAATAGAATAGAATAGAATAGAATAGAATAGAATAGAATAGAATAGAATAGAATCCTTTATTGACCAAGTGTGATTGGACACACAAGGAATTTGTCTTTGGTGCATACACTCTCGGTGTATATAAAAGAAAAGATACATTTGTCAAGAATCATAAGGTACAACACTTAATGATAGTCATAGGGTACAAATAAGCAATAAATAGGAATTTGATAGGAACGATGAGAAGATTAATAGTAGTGCAGACTTAGTGAATAGTTTGAGAGTGTTGAGGGAATTATTTGTTTAGCAGAGTGAAGGCGTTTGGGAAAAAACTGTCCTTGTGTCTAGTTGTTCTGGTGTGCAGGACTCTATAGCATCGATTTAAGGGTAGGAGTTGAAACAGTTTATGTCCAGGATGCGAGGGGTCTTTAAATATTTTCACAGCCCTCCTTTTGACTCGTGCAGTATACAGGCCCTCCATGGAAGGCAGGTTGGTAGCCATTGTTTTTTTCTGCAGTTCTCATTATTCTCTGAAGTCTGTCTTGTTGGGTTGCAGAACCAAACCAGACAGTTATGGAGGTGCGGATGACAGACTCCATAATTCCTCTGTAGAACTGGATCAGCAGCTCCTTGGGCAGTTTGAGCTTCCTGAGTTGGTGCAGAAAGAACATTCTTTGTGGTGCTTTTTTGACGATGTTTTTTATGTTGGGTGTCCATTTTAGGTCGTGAGATATGGTAGAACCTAGAAATTTGAAGGTCTCTACTGTTGATACTGTCTTGTCTAGTATTGTAAGACGTGGTAGTATGGAAGGATTTCTCCTAAAGTCCACCACCATTTCTACGGTTTTGAGTGTCTTCAGTTACCTCCTATTTGTATGCGGATTCATCATTGTCTCAAATGAGAACGATCACTGTTGTGTCATCTGCAATCTTCAGTCGTTTAACAGATGGATCGTTAGAGATGCAGTCATTGGGGTACAGAGAGAAGTGGGGAGAGCACACAGCCTTGGGGGGGGGGGGCTGTGCTAATTGTACAGGTATCTGATGTGATTCTGCTTAGCTTCACCTGCTGCTTCCTGTCTGTTAGGACGCTTATGATCCACTTGCAAGTGTGTTCAGGTACCTGTAGCTTGTTTAACTTAGTTAGAAGAGTGTCTGGAATGATGGGATTGAATACTGAACTAAAGTCTACAAAGAGGATCCTTGCGTAGGTCTTTGGAGATTCAAGATGTTGTAGGACGTAGCGCAGAGCCATATTAATAGCATCATCTGTTGATCTATTTGCTCGGTATGCAAATTGCAAGGGGTCTAAACAGCGGATCCGTGATGGTTTCCAAATGAGACAGCACTAGCCTTTCAAAGGTTTTCATAGCTACAGATGTTAGAGCAAGTGGTCTGTAGTTGTTCAGTTCCTTGATGGTAGGCTTCTTCGGCACTGGGATGATAGTAGAATGTTTGAAGCAAAAAGGAACATAGCACATCTCTAGCGATTTATTGAAGATACGGGTGAAGACGGGGGCCAATTGGTCAGCACAGACTTTTAAGCAAGGAGGAGGAGTTATCTTGTCTGGGCCTGGAGCTTTTCCTGGCTTTTGTCTGTGAAATAAGTCTTGCACTTCCTGTTCTGTGACCACCAGGGGTTGTGAACCCAATGGGATGGGGTCAGTTGTAGGAGGCTCCGCTGTTGTTGGCGTGTCTGAGATGGGGTCAGTTGCCAAGCATCTGAATTCATCCAGATGGGAGACTACAATGGTCATAAGTGTGAAAAACAGTCCTATGTCACTTTTTTCAGTGCCGTTGAAACTTTGAATGGTCATTAAACAAACTATTGTAAGTCAAGGACTGTTTGTATCATCCAAAATTTGGATTAATAAATTTATATGTGTATGTGTATGGGGACGTGGTGGCTGAGTGGCTAAGATGCTGAGCTTGTTGATGGAAAGGTTGGCAGTTCAGCGGTTTGAATCCCGAGTGCCGTGTAACGGGGTGAGCTCCCGTGACTTGTCCCAGCTTCTGCCAACCTAGCAGTTCGAAAGCAGGTAAAAAATGCAAGTAGAAAAAATAGGGACCACCTTTGGTGGGAAGGGAACAGCGTTCCATGCGCCTTTGGCGTTGAGTCATGCTGGCCACATGACCACGGAGACGTCTTCGGACAGCGCTGGCTCTTCGGCTTTGAAACGGAGATGAGCACCACCCCCTAGAGTTGGGAACAACTAGCACATATGTACGAGGGGAACCTTTACCTATGTGTGTGTGTGTGTTTGTTTGTGCATATGAGTGCATTTGTTATCTTGATCTACACTGTTATTATCTTTGAAGGAAGGTGAATATAAAGACATGGACACCGAAACTTGGTATTCTTTCTCTATACCATGCTAGCAAACTAGATACTAGTGAGAAGTAAATATATACAGTATATTTATTTAAACGCTAACTCTGCCAAAAATTGAGGTCCATAAAGCTTGACTTCTAAGTGTATTTTGACATGAGCTGGAGTGATTTTGCATTTATATCATTAATAAGTAGTGGGGTTCCTTCAATATACGCTTCAGCTGATCTAATAGTTTGGATCTACAACATTACTAAGAAGCATGCTTTATTTTGCCGTGTTCTTAACTCTAAACCCAAATACACTTGGTTATACACTGTACACCACCAAGATAAAGTTTTTACTAAGGAAGTGAGAAAAGGACTGGGCCCTTGTCACACTAATGGATACGGAAGTCACTCTAACCATGTTGGAGTACCCGTGTCATAGTTCAGAACATTTGCTTAGCAAAATGTTTCCTCTGGTGGCTCCTTAGGGATGAATTACAAGCCCATTTAATTCCAAGAATTCCACAAGGACAATCATGTCCATAATTCTACATTTAAGCAGGCAATTTCAAGTTCCTCAGCCTTGGACCCTAACATAAGCAGTCAGGTAGTACTCGGTCCTTCAAAAACAGTCTTTCAGTTTTCACAGAGTCAAATGGCTATAAGATGCCTTAGAGAGGTCTCCTGGTCCAGCCCCATGTCCATGACAGATGACCTTATATTACCCCCGACAAATAGTGGTCCAGTTTTTTCTAGAAAACCTTCAGCAATGTAGCACTGACAACTCCAGGTGACAAGTTGTTCCACTGATTAATTGTTGGCGCTGTCAGGAAGTTTTTCCATAGTTCCAGGTAGGACCACTCTTTAACAAGCTTCTACCCATTGCTTTTTGTCCTGCCTTCAGGTACGTAAAACTCCTCTACTCTGCAGCAGAATAACAGAATTGGAAGGGACCTTAGAGGTCTTCTAGTCCAACCCTCTGCTCAAGTAGGAGACTCTATAGCATTTCAGAAAAATGGCTCTTCTTCAGTGATGGAGCACCCATAATTTCTGGAGGCAAGCCGTTTCAGTGGTTAATCTTTCTCACGGTTAGGAAGTTCCTCCTTAATTCCAGGTTGCTTCTCTCCTTGATTAGTTTCCATCCGTTGCTTCTTGTCTTGCCTTCTGGTGCTTTGGAGAATAGGTTGACTCTCCCTCTTCTTTGCGGCAGCCCCTGAGATATTGGAACTCTGCGTATTTGAGGGGTTGCCATAAAGAAGAGGGTCCATCTATTCTCCAAGCACCAGAGGGCAGGACAAGAAGAAACAGATTGAAACCAATCAAGGAGAGAAGCAACCTAGAACTAAGGAGAAATTTCCTCATAGTGAGGACAATCAACCAATGGAACAGAAGTTGCCTTCAGAAGTTGTGGGTGCTCCATCATTGGAGGCCTTCAAAAAGAGAACGGACAACAATTTGTCTGAAATGGTAGAGGGTCTCCTGCTTTTACAAGAGGTTGGACTAGAAGACCTCCGAGGTCCCTTCAAGCTCTATTATTCTATGTTCTAACTTCTCCAGTTGCATCTCTGCTGTTTTGGATGGCCTTGCTCCTCCTCATGGAGAAACTTTGGGATAGATATTGACTTGACATAATCAAACCAATCCTCATTTGTGTTTTTATTATTTCTTAGAAATAATTTTGATAGTAAACCGTATAGTAGGGTTTCTTAACTTGGGGTTCATGGACTCTTTGGTGATCTGGGGATATATTTCAAAAGTCCCATGGACTTGGGAGGGGAAAAATCTTACAATCTTATTTTCTATTTATTACAACCTCTAACTGAAATTTAGCTTTTTATCTTATCAATCAGAATAGAGAGCTGGAAGAGACCTTGGAGGTCTTCTAGTCCAACCCCATGCTCAAGTAGGAGACTCTATAGCATTTCAGAAAAATGGCTCTTCTTCAATGATGGAGCACCCATAATTTCTGGAGGCAAGCTGTTCCAGTGGTTAATCTTTCTCACGGTTAGGAAGTTCCTCCTTAATTCCAGGTTGCTTCTTTCCTTGATGAGTTTCCATCCATTGCTTCTTCTCCTACCTTCTGGTGCTTTGGAGAATAAGTTGACCCCTTCCTCTTCTTTGTGGCAGTCCCTCAAATACTGGAATACTGCTACCATGTCCCCCCAATCCTTCTTTTCTCTAGACTGGCCAAACCCAATTCCTGCAACCGTCCTTTGTATGTTTTCGCCTTTTAGCCTCCAGTCCCCTAATCGTCTTTGTTGCTCTTCTCTGCGCTTTTTCCCAAAGTCTCAACTTCTCTTTTGTAATGTGGTGACCAAAACTGGATGCAATATTCCAGGTGTGGCCTTACCAAGGTTTTATAAAGCAGTACTAATACTTCATGTGATTTTGGTTCTATGCCTCTGTTTATGCAACCGAGGATTGTATTAGCCTTTTTGGCTGCTGCTGCACACGGCTGGCTCATGTTGAAGTGACTGTCCACGAGGACTCCAAGGTCCCTCTCACAGTTCCTGTTTTTGAGACAGGTTGGTGCAACTCTTTACCAATTCCAATTGTGGAAGAGAAGTTATATTTAAATTACGTGGGTTTTTTTTCCCTACTTTGTTCCTGCAACATAATACTTATATAACCAATATATATATATAATTTTCCAGACATTGCAGTTAATGATTTTAGTGCAATATTTGTGTTGCAGTTCATTTAAATACACACCACACAGACCTACACACTCACACCTATTCTCAAGAGCTTGGCATTTTCAATAATTAAGGACATTTAACAATTAAGCTAATAGGCCTTTTATTTTAAAGGGCCAAAATAATATAATCAGTCTAGTTCTTTAACCTCTGGAACCATTTATCAAAGCCATTAAATTAGAATGATGGCATGGAATGTTATCACTTGACACAACACAAAAGAAAAATTGTTCTGAGACAAATTGATAAAATCTTTTAATGCTGTCAAATTTGCCTAATGCAGCCTTCAGGTCCATCTATAAAAGGGTGAGCCGAATGTTGGCTCATTTCTTATTATCCTGAGCTATCAATATATAAATCAGCTCTGACACAATTCCTCCTAAATCATCTGTATTATACACAAAGGAAAAGGATTTAACAGCATAGAGTGCACTCAAGCTAATCTTGTCCTAAAAGAATCGAAAGGCGGATTTTCCCCTCCACCCCCAAATTGGCAAGAATTCAGGTGCATTAGGGGGGGAAAAAACGGGGAAATATTTCTTTTCACGATGCCTTCTAAATGCCACTGTGGAAAAGTTGAAAAATAACTTTCAAACTTCCTGTTTCCTTGCAAAAAGTTATTTTTCTCTTCACTTGGCATCGAGCCCTGGAATAAAACTTGGCACAGTCCATTTTCTTAGCAACAAGATGGTGATTTAAATGTAATGTTTCCTCTTTGTTTTGCATTACTTGAGGGCCAGGGAATAATAGCAAAAGATGGTTAAAAGGCAGTTGTAAGTTAAATCCAGTTGGGTCTATCCCAAGTGAAAAAACAAAACAATTATTTTTGCTTAGCTTCATTTTAAGAAGCAAACTGTTTTCCTCTGACGTAAAACCAATGCCTCTTTTGGAGTATTGTAAAATTGGAGTATTGTGGTAATGTCCTCCTGTTTTAAATCATCTGAATGACCAAAATGTTTCTTTCTTTCTTTTTTTTAAAAGTGCTAATAGTGAAATGGCTGCTAAGGTTTGCTTGCACTGCGCACATAAAATGGTCATTTCAGCCTTTCAAAACCTAGAGAGAAATCAGATCCTCACAGGCAAAAGAGTTTCTTACAGATTGGAGAAGGCAGCCTCTTCTATTAGCCTGAATGGAAACCGAAGGAGAGAAGTGGATTCCAGTGGAAAAAGCCATTGGACTGAGCCAGGGAGACTCAGGAAGAAAATAATCAGCAAAATTGCCACCCACTGTTTTTACAATGTGGTGGCCGGCCTATTTTATTTAGGAAATTTCTTCTCTGTGAAGGACTGGAGCCATTTTATATTTCTTTACTACCCAAAAACCTAACCGATAGAGAAAGCAATCCAAACTAGCCAAAATACATAGGATGCTTTGTTTATTTCATATTTACAACCAGAATTTCTCAATTTACATTTCCTGCTGAACTTCAGGCCCTAATCAGGAAATATACAGTACTAGCTAGATACCCGTGCTTCCCTACTTATGACCATTTTTCACACTTACGACCATTGTAGCATCCTATTGTCATCATCACCAACAAAGTATATCTGGAGAAAGGAAGGCTGCTGCTGAGGCCCCACCATGATATTCCCTATCCTGTGGCTGACCTGCCTCTGCATTTTGCACGTTGGCATAAAATTTCCCTCCTTCACCTCTCTGGCTCCAAAAGACGTCATTTGGAAGCATCTGTTGTACTTCCGGGCAACAGAAAGACAGTCTTTTCCCTTTAACTGGTGTTACAGTCGAAGGAACAGATTCGTCTGAACTGAGGAGGTCAGTATAAGAAGTGAGTTGGGGCTGGGACACCATGCAGGAGAAATTCGGTTCACAATCCATTGACTCAGTGGTGGTCGGTGATTGGGGAATATGTCTCCCACCGCCTTGAGTCCGGAAGCAGTTCCATAGGTGAAAGGTGTAGACATTTTGGTGAGATAGCGACATTTAGTACTGTAAGGAGCCCCAGACCGCTCTTGAGTGAAGGAGTGGCATGTCTGCCCGTTTGAACTGAGGTAACGGAATGTGAGGCAACTGGCAGTTGGAACAGAGTTCTTTTCATGTGGGGAGGGAGAGTACAACGTCTAACTCCTTAGCATCAGAGCATGTGAATATAATACAGTGTATGAAATACTAATGATCTGATGGTCATTTCGAAAAATCCTTTCTTAGTTTGTAGGCTTTATTCATTTATTTATTTTAGGAAGTTTATATTGCCGCCTATTCGCACATGGCGATTCAAGGCAGCTGATACAATATACAATGCCAACTTATAATTTAAAATGCTGCTTGTTTTCAGTGAATTGTTTTAGACTACCACTGTTAAGATTCTGGTGGCTTTAGTTTAATTTCACATCTTAGCATTATCTAGATTCAAGGCTACTAAGGAACTATAACTAACGGCCCATCTCTGGAGATTCTCCATCATCCAGATCATGGTTGTCCCAAAAGAGTTTTTCCAAATGGCAACTCCGCTTTCTGGGTTTTTTCCTTGATCTGAAGAAGCTTCTTGATGAGAAGCGAAATGTTTTCAAGGAAAAAACCAAGAAAGTCCAGTTGCCTTTTGGAAAAGCACCTTTGTGGTAAGTAATTGCAGTTAACTGGTTTGTCAGTTTAATTTTCAACTTCCACATAGGAAGAAGAATAGGGAGTACATAGCCAAAAATCATAGCAGCCCATTCCAAAAATGAAGGTTTAGTAAATTGTCAAAAATATCTATCTATCTATCTATCTATCTATCTATCTATCTATCTATCTATCTATCATCTATATCAATCATCTATCTATCTAACATCTATATCGATCATCTATCTATCTATCTATCTAATCTATCATCTAAGGTATCTTATCTGCCTATCATCTACCATCTCTCTCTCTCTCTCTCTCATCTATCATCCATCCATCCATCCATCATCCATCCATCCATCCATCTATCTATCTATCTATCTATCTATCTATCTATCTATCTATCTAATCTGTCTATCTAATCTGTCTATCATCTATTTTATATGCCTATCATCTATCATCACTCTCTCTCTCTCTTTATCTATCTATCTAATCTATCATCTAAGGTATCTTATCTGCCTATCATCTATCATCTTTCTCTCTCTCTCTCTCTCTCTAAAATCTATCATCCATCTATCTATCTATCTATCTATCTATCTATCTATCTATATCTATCTATCATCTATCTATCTAATCTGTCTATATCATCTATTTTATATGCCTATCATCTATCACCTCTCTCTCTCTCTCTCTCTAATCTCATCCATCCATCCATCCATCCATCCATCATCCTCTATCTATCTATCTATCTATCTATCTATCTATCTATCTATCTATCTATCTATCTATCTACGACCCCAACCCTCTTAACGCTGCAGGCATGGCTGTTCCCCCATGAATTTGGGTGAGGGGGTGCTTTGCTGGTGAGATGAGTCTGTGTTTTGGGGGGGCACCAGGGGTTGTTTGGGTAGGGGTGTTTGTTTTAATCTTGTAAGCCACCCAGAGTCTGAGATAGGTGGCTCTATAAAATAAAGAAATGAATAAAAGAAGATATAAATACTTACAGATTTTTAATGTCAACAGCTCCACGGAAAGCCTTCCTTGGGATGGCATGTATCTGGTTTTCACTGAGGTCCCTAAGAAAAGATAATAAATAGCTTCAATAGATCTTTTCGCTTAAGAACAATCAAATCAACCCAACCCACTATGATTAACCCTAATTATATGCATTTCATTGTATTCTGACAGTTTATCAATTACCATACACACAAACACAATCTACTTAGTAATACCCAATTTCGAAACACAAGGGACATTTTAAAAACTCTTAAATGTTTGAGTTAAAAGGAAGAAGGAAACAGCAAATATTCAACATTAATTGCACTACATAATTTCCCAATGCATCCATTAGAATATATACATACCATACATATATACATACATACATGAATTTTGCCCCATTTTATGACTTTTCTTGCCACAGTTGTTAAGTGAATCACTGCAGTTGTTAAGTCATAAATGTGAGTCCATTGCCATTTCAAACAAGTGGCTGTCCAATCTGTTCTTGAAAACCTCCAGGGATGGAGCACTCACAACTTCTGGTGGCAAGTTGTTCCACTGGTTAATTGTTCTCTGTCAGGAAGTTTCTCCTTAGTTCTAAATTGCTTCTCTCCTTAATTAGTTTCCATCCATTGCTTCTTGTCCTGCTTTCTGGTGCTTTGGAGAATAGCTTGACTCCCTCTTTTTTGGGGCAGCCCCTGAGATATTGGAAGGCTGCTATCATGTCTCCTAGTCCTTCTTTTCATCAAACTAGACATACCCAGTTCCTGCAACCCTTCTTCGTATGTTTTAGCCTCCAGCCCCCTAATCAGCCTTGTTGCTCTTCTGTACTCTTTAATATGAATATGGCATATATGAGTATTTGCAATTCTCCGGGGTGTAATTAAATGAATGTGTAAGAAAATATAATGTGTTTTTAGCTTTATGAAGGCAGGGCTTTTAGTAGAAATCTTTACTTCCAATTTGCCATGAATAGTTGTGCCATGCATGACTGATCTTAACGGAGATCAATAACAGATTTTGTTCTTTCCTTACAATTTTCACTTAAGGGCGACTAAACATACATGAAGTTGTATGCCGTTTGCTTCTTTCAAGTGTTTTCATCATGTTAGTGAATAAATTGCTGCATTAAACAATGTTTTTACCCCTGAATGTACAATTTGCCCTGGAAATTACATCGCGTTTTGATTAATTATTGAATCTGCAGCATTGCTACACAGACTGCAAAACGTATTTATGAAAGTGTGTATTTACATTTGCGTATCAGAGAAATAACTGGAGGATAAACTAGAACAAACAATAGTTTGTATGCAAGTTTTAGAAAACTTGCAAATCTAGAGACTATTCTCAAGCAGCAAACTGTATCCAATTCAAAGTAGACGATGCTAAATTCTGAATTCATAATAAAAAGTTCTAAGTGAATAGTCGTAATAGATGTTATTGTCCATTTCCTGAATGAACAGGGGCCTCTATTAGAGAGACATATTCCACCTCTTTGCAATGAAGTCAGCTCTGCATTGCAGCTATTTTATTACTCACCATCCAATATCTCAGTTGAATATGCTATTTACTTTTCAAAGCACAGAACGCTATTATTTTAATTGTGTTAATGGAAACTGCTGTGTGCAGTAGTGAAATTATGCTCTTCTAAAGTTGGGATAAGGGACCTTTTCTTCCCTGCGTAGTTAAATCAACATTACTTTAAGACAATAAATTTTCTGTAGTAGGCACACCTGCTTCTAAATTTAATTACTGGTAATTTTATTTTCCCTTTATGGCTTAACCTCTCTTAAGAGACTGATCAGTAGTACCATAAATCTACAAAAGCATTCAATACTTTGCAGAAACTACCCGGTGTAGCGGAAGGAATGGAAAGCACTTACTTACTGAGATTACAGTAGAAAGCAAAAAGCATAACTAAGCACCTAAAACTGAATCCTCCCACAGAACAGGTAGTCCTCGACTTATGACCACAACTGAGCCTCACATTTAAAACAATTACAGGCAGCCCAAAATTTCCCACGCTAAGTGAGACATTTGTTAAGTGACTTTTGCCCCATTTTAAGACCTTTCTTGCTACAACTGTTAAGCGAATCACTGCAAGTTGTTAAGTTAGTAACATGGTTGTTAAGTGAATCCGGCTTTCCCATTGTCTTTGCTTGTCAGAAGGTCGCAAAAGGGGGGGTCACGTGACCCCCCCCGGGAGATGGCAACCGTCATAAATACGAGTCAGTTGCCAATTTTGATCACATGACCACAGGGAGACTGCAACGGTCGTAAGTCATGTTTTTGCAGTGCCGTTTTAACTTCAAAAGGTCACTAAATGAACTGTTGTAAGTGAAGGACTACTTCACTTGTGCTATCCTGATAATAGAAATTTAATGTCTAAAAAGAGTGCCACAATGAAGTGGGAAGTTTCCCAGCTGAGTATATTGTTCTAGTTGTCTATTTGCTCACAAAGAAGAGAAGAGAAGGGAAGGGAAGGGAAGGGAAGGGAAGGGAAGGGAAGGGAAGGGAAGAGAAGAGAAGAGAAGAGAAGAGAAGAGAAGAGAAGAGAAGAGAAGAGAAGAGAAGAGAAGAGAAGAGAAGAGAAGAGAAGAGAATGCAGAGCAGAGCAGAACAGAATAGAATTCTTTATTGGCCAAATGTGATTGGACACACAAGGAATTTGTCTTTGGTGCATAAGCTCTCGGTGTACATAAAAGAAAAGATACATTCATCAAGAATCACAAGGTACAACACTTAATGATAGTCATAGGGTACAAATAAGCAATCAGGAAACAATATCAATATAAACCGTAAGGATACCAACAACAAGGTTACAGTCATGCAGTCATAAGTGGAAGGAGATGGGTGGTGGGAACGATGAGAAGATTAATAGTAGTGCAGACTTAGTAATTAGTTTGACAGTGTTGAGGGAATTATTTGTTTAGCCGAGTGATGGCGTTTGGGAAAAAACTGTTTTTGTGTCTAGTTGTTCTGGTGTGCAGGGCTCTATAGCCTCGTTTTGAGGGTAGCAGTTGAAACAGTTTATGTCCAGGATGCAAAGGGTCTGTAGATATTTTCACAACCCAAAGAAATCCAATTTAACAGAATGACAAAGTTGGAATGGATCTTAGAGGTCCTCTAATCCAACCCCCTGCCCAAACAGAAGACCCTAGACCATTTCAGACTAATGGCTGTCCAATTTCTTCTTGATCTCCTCCAGTGATGAAGCACCCACAACTTCTGGAGGAAAACTGTTTCATTGATTAATTGTCCTCACTGCCAGGAAATTCCCCCTTAGTTCTAGGTTGCTTCCCTCCTCAATTCGTTTCCATCCGTTACTCCTTGTCCTGCCTTCAAGTGCTTTGGAGCATAGCTTGACCCCCCCCCCTTAATTGCAGCAGCCCCTGAGATATTGGAAGAAGGTTAGATATAGGAAGAACAAAACTTCAGAAGAACCTTCAGAATCTAACAATTCAATCCTGTGCTACATTTATTCTCCACTTCTGGTTCTGTTCTCTGAAGCTGTGCTCTTCTATTTAATACTCTCATTCTTGAAGTCGTGGGACTTTATTTCACTGCATCTGTCTGCACCATTTTTTATACCTATATTATAAAGTTACATCTGATGTTAACTTGGAATTATATGTCTATTTCCACTGTAGAAAGAGAGACTTATGATACGGCGAGGTGCATATAACATTTTCTCCTAATATATTTTCACAACATGAGTGAAAGAATAAAACTAGTTTGGGAACTAAAATAATTCTAGCATAGACCCGAGTCTTTCTTAGCAACTTTGCTGGGATTTAATGCTCTGGTATTTACTATAATTCAGAGTTTAATTTACTGAACGCCAAATCTTTTTCTTAAGTTTTGGAGCTTACATTTTTATTTTGTAGTCCCTGTAATATAACATTGGTGAAATACAAACTCTTTTAAAGTCTCGCGTTTATTCCTGGAATAAACTGTAGCAGCATATTAGTAATTCTTGAAGTAGATCAATTCCATTCCCTGTTGTCTCCAGAAACGCACTTAGACTAATTTGCCAAGAATACCCAGCATAACACTGTTTTAAGCAGGCCGTAAATATTATTCATTATAGAAAATTAAATTCCTAAGCAGATTTACTGTTCATATTACAAAGAAGTCGCAATGGTTCAGGAAAACAAAAAGTGATTATGATAAAAAGAGAAGCAAAGCAGTAAACATGATTTTCAGAAAATCACACTCTGAGAAAGTCACAGTAGTTTATGCGGTTTTTCTATTTTACAAAATCCAACATTATGGATAACTATGAAGGGCGTGATGTATTAACCAACCCGTCGAAAAGACTGATCCTGTTTTCTTTTCTTTTTTTAAAAAAAATACAACTATTTAAATTCACTTTCCTTATATATCTTTAACAACATTCTATCCCGTTGCTTACTTATTACTACAGCGTGAACAAACTTCTGTAACTCTGATATATGGAAAATTGGCACGTGGAATTCTCTGCCATAAAATGGGACAATGGCTGATAGCAAAGATAGATAGATAGATAGATAGATAGATAGATAGATAGATAGATAGATTTAAAATTCTACATCCTGTAATGATAAGAAGCCTTTGATCTCAGGTTTTCCATATAAGTTTCCCATAAAAAACCGTCGATAAAAAAGAGAGTCCCGAACAGCCTTTCTCAACTGAAGATCTGCAAGGTCATGATTGAAGGGGGGGGAAATATTTTTTTAACTTTTTACACGCTGTCTCTCAGCTGTTAGCCTGCTGCTTTGTTGTTTTGGGGAATACTGACAAATATGAATTGTGTAAGTTAGATTTGAACTGTATTATGAAATTTTCATTTTTATTATTATTATTATTATTTTGCTATTTTTATGCAAGACTTCCCTGACACCTGAGTATTATTACAAGGGTAAAAAGGCTTTAACAGATTAACAGAGTTGGAAGGGACCTTGTAGGTCATCTAGTCCAACCCCCTACCCAAGCAGGAGACCCTCCACCATTTCTGACAGACGGCAGCCTAGTCTTTTCTTGAAAGCTTCCAGGGATGAAGCTCCCACCACTTCTGAAGGCAACTTCTGTTCCATCA